CACTCACCTGTAGGAGAGCAGTATGAAATCTTCTCTCTGTAGGACTTGAAACAAGGGCTTGAGTGGGTCTTGTGCTTCTCAGACTTTCCTCTCTTAGCTTTGATTTGTACATCCTTCCTTCTAGTTTTCCTACTAATATTTTTACAACACATTGTGCTCCGGATACTCCAGGTGAATTTTCAGGCTAACAAAGCCTGGCACTGCTAGTGTTGAATATTTGAGTCTCGGTCGCTGCAGAATGCTAGAGCCTGAAGAGTAGTAGATTATTTATTTAAATGCTCTTGGCTAATGCACTTTTTGTGATATCACGTGACTGCTAGAACACCAAGGCTTTCTCATGGTTATGAGAATTATGATACTGTGATTTAAAGATCTCCAGAGTTACTGGTGTTTCAGTATATGACCTTAGAAGTGTCCCACATTATTAGAATTGTTCAAGATAGAGGAGTCTCAGAGGTTTTCATGTTACTTGAAATCCAGTTATTTATGACCTTCTAGAGAATGATAAAGCTCAAACTTACTCTTTACTAAATATTGTTTTTTTCCCTCTGAAGGTGAACATATGCTAGCGAATAAATGTTTAAATTACAGAACTGTCCACACTAGTATTACCACCTATTAGTTACCACAAAGTTCCTAATGACTAGTAAAAATACTACTTTTTGTATAATGTGTGCTCTAAGAAGTGTTTTCAGTCGTGTTCAACTGACTCCGATGAACTAATCTAAGAAAATAACATCCATTTGATCCCTCGAGACACAGCCTGAAGTTCTGATCCAAGAAATCACAGTAGTTTGTGCTTTCTCTCCGCTGGAGACCAGCAAAGCACATGTTTTAATTACATTGTTAAATTAGGGGTTTGGCTGTGGCAACTTACATTAGCTAATTGAGAAAAAAAAGCCCAGCCAAAAACAGAGGAAATACTTTAATGCTTACATAAACAGGTATGAATATAAATACATCAAGATTTACATCTCTCGGTTAAGAAAAAGGCATCTTGCTTTCAGATTAGACCACCGCTTTAAAGATTCATGCAGGGTACTTGGAATGGCTTCCTCCATGCCGTCCGAGGAATGTATAGGCAAGTCCTCTGGTTTTTTTTTTTTTTTAGTTGCCAACGCCTTTGATCAGGGATTTCTGAAACAGCAAATGTCTCAAGGGCAAGAATGCTTGAGGAGAAATACGTTGAGAAAGGCTGATTCACACAGCAAGGATACTTCTTGCCTTCTGAAAATCAAACATTTCAGTGCTGTGCTCTGGAAATCAAGCATTCCTGTGCTGTGTTGTCAGGCTGGGCCCCGCTTTGGAGCCTCTTGAGAAGCTTGGTCTCAGTGCCCTCTTGCACTGGCAATACTGGCTCACCTACATTTATCTGAGTTAAAATACAAGCTCTTCAGGGCAAGTACCTGGCCTTTTATGTGTTTTGAAAGAGCTCTATATAATTAAGGTACTTTGTATGAAGAAATTACTTCAAAACAGTTTACACAGGGCAGCTATTTCAAGATCAAGAAAAAATCTTTAGCCTCGTTCCCTGAGGAAACAAGGCTTATGTGACTGGACTGGCTGGGTGTCCCTCCTCCCTTCCATCCAACACCTTTTGAACTTGTTGGACAGTTTAAACTACATTTTGAAGGGGGAGACGTCTCAAAGATAATTAAGTTCCCATGGACTTTATGAAAATCAGATGCTGGGAAGAGAGAAATCCAGATCCACAGTTCAAATTACTAATTTTTTCCAAGTGTCATCTTGCAAGCCCAAAACTTGACTGCAAGTGTAATAATGACTGTCACGCTGATAATGTAATCCCAACTAATTTAGAGGTCTGACAGCTATTATGCATCCAAATATTAACATGCAGATTGACACCATAAAGAAATTCAATTTCCCCTATTTTGGTGTTTCACCATTTTTTAACAATATAATCATCCTCCTCACACTTGTTATGAATTTTCAGAGAAATTAGTGTCACTCATGGCTTATTGGCTTGGAGTGTTCCTGAAAATTTTGTATTTTTACTTTTTTTTTTAAGCTAGCAATGTTCATTAATGTCTCCTTATCCCTTCCCTGTAATTAGTTAGTACTGGCAATACATATGTAGAATCAAGAAATTAGGTAGTAATTGGGCTGCATTACTCATGATTGTTGCATCTGATAGGGAAATTTACAGTTGTTTTTGTTATCACAAAAGCACTTTAACTGTCTGAGCTGCAGGAAGCCAAGGCAGGCCTCGGTGCTCCTCATTATTTAATTGTTTTGGTTCTACTGGTTAAAAGAAGTTACTGAAGGGAAGAAACGGCAGACAACATAAATTTCTCTTATTTGCGGATTATTTCACTATCTCAAAAAAGCAACTCAAAAACTTAGGCAACCTCAAAGTCACGGTCACAGACTTGCCTATTTGAAAGCTGCTGGAGGAAGGTTACTACGCGTGCCGAGACGGGACTTTGTTGGTGATACAGTTTCTTATCAGGTGTGTAACGCGAATAAGAAAGGCAGGGAAGGAGAAGGGTTCCCATGGATTTGTTTGGCTGCAGTATGATAAGCTAACTCTCTGTATTACCCAGCTGAAGTTTTCTGCATTTTTCATGTGTTTGGGCAAGCCCCGCTGCCGCACAGCGTTTCACTGGCAGTCGGGAGGCTCTGGGAGGCTCTCCCGGAGCCGAGACCACGTTTCACAACTCGCGTTTGGGGGAGCTCTGGAACGGATGCCAAATATTAGTCTGTTGATGTAGCAAAAACAACCAACTCAACACTTTTTTTGCCCGGAGGAGGAAGCGACCGTGTAAAAAAGGCCCTCATTTTCTTCAATAGCCAGAGGGCCAGACACGCTGCAGGGCGGGCAGCGCGGCCTGCTGCAGGCGGGTTGACCTGGTGCCTGGCCCGCCTCCACGCCGGGCCCTCAGAAGCGCCGAAGCGAGATTTTGCGTGGTCCTTCCTGCTGAAGCTGTTCCACTTCATATAAGTAATTAAGCGTTAATTAGAAGAGGACTACTTTAGCATTCATTAAGCATTAAATACTAATTGAGCGCCCGGGGAGAGCGCCGGCCCCATTAGGCCGCCGCGTCATTCTCACGCTGCCCGGGACGGGGGGCAGTCACCCCGGCGTGGGGTGCCCGCCGGCGGCGCACCGGGGGCAGGCGGAGACAAGCAGGTGCCCCCCACGCCACGCCACGCCGCCCCTTCCCCTCGCCCTGTCTGTGGGGGGAAGCGCTGGCCCGGGCGCTGCCCCACGCCGCGCAGCCCTCGCGGCGTGCGAGCTGCCCGCGCTCAACCCTTGGCGCTTATTCCCCACACCCCCCCCGACATCAAAAGTTTGTCGGTTTGGCCCGGGGCGGGCGTTTTGCCCTCAAGGACGAGGAAGCCGCCGCGGCGCGGGCTGCTGGGGCACTTGGGGGGGGGGGATGCGGGAAGCCTCGCCCGTAGGCGCCCGCTTTCCCGCGCTTTCCTCCGCCCCCTCCCTCAGGTTTCAGCCCTCGCTGCGGGCCGGCACGCCGCCGCCGCCGCCGCCGCCGCCGCCCCTCCTTGTGCCGCCGAGGGCGGCGGCCCGGCCGGGTAGAGCCGGTGCCCGCGGCCGGGGCGGCGGCTCGGGGCGGGCCGCGGGGGCGGGCCGAGGCGGAGCGCCCAGACAGCTGGCGCCGGGGCAGCCGCGCGGGTAGCGGCGCGGTGCGTGGGGCAGCTCAGCGCAGGGGCCGCCGCCGGGCCGGGCCGGTGCCGGGGCCGGGCGGTGAGTGTTCGTGGGCCGTCGGCGGGGAGGGGAGGGAAGGGAAGGCGCGGCGGGGCGAGGCGCCCGCACCTGGGGAGCCGGGCGAGGACGCGGCGCGGGTAAAGTCCGCCGCGGCTCCTTCCTCCTGTCGCGGTTTGGGATGAGGGAGGACGGCCGCACCTTCGCCTGGGTGGGTGGGTGGGTGGGTGAGTGGGGGGCTTCTCCCTCCCGGTAACGCGCGGGGGGGCGGGGGCGCTGAGGCGGTACCGGCCCGGCACCCCACAGCCGTCCCCGCGGGGAAGGGAGCGGCGGTCGCGGGGTGGGGGGGGGGACGGGGACGCGGGTGCTTCAGCGCCGCCCGGCCCGGGCTCGGCGGTGGAGGAGACGCCTGGACGCGAGCGGTCGCGGCGTCTGCAGCAAAAAAAAAAAAAAAAAAAACAAAAAAAACCAAATTAAAACCCCAAACAGTTCAAAACGCTCGGAAGCAGCGCCCGTGCTGCCGAGAGCCGCCCGCCGCCGTCCTCGGGAGCTCCGGTCCGCCGGAGTAGGAAATAGTCGCGGTGTTTTGAAACAGGCATCTCAAAACAAGTATTCATCGTACCGGCATGTAAAAAGTGCTAATATATTAAAATGCAAATATGCATGTGTGCTCAGCGATGCTGTTGCGTGTTTCCTGTTTACCATGTTAATTAGAAGTTGTAAGGGAAAACTTCACCAAGAGTAATTCAGGGAAGTGTTTGACCCAGTAATGCTCATTGGGTGATGCAGTGGCTTTTGTAGTTCTGGGTTTTCTAGCCCAAAACTACAGGTATTTATTGGACTTCGTGAATGAGAATTGTGTGAATTGTATTAGACTGTTCTCTACCAGCACAAGTGTCAAAACTGACTCAGCCAGTACAGAGAGGAAGGTTAAGGTCCGCACTCTCGTTTTTGTAAAGAAAACTTTGACCAAGCAGTTTGTCCCCTGTCTTGCAGACACTTTCCTGTATTATTTTGGGTGACGTTAACGAATTGTGCAAAAGTTTGAGATTTGAAACATGTAATGCTGGTATTGTAAGACAAGGTGAGCATACTTGTAAACAAATACAGGCAAAAACTTCGAGAAGGATCTTGGGATTTTGGGGAGGGTTTTATTTTTCTTGGAGTTTTCTTTTGAGAGCTAGTATTGTTCATTAAGCTCTTTTGCTCTCATTCACCGTGTCCTTTAAATTTATAGGTGGTGCTAATACAAATAAATGTATTATAGAAGCAATTTTGACATTAACCAAATGTTTGTTTGTTTGCTTTGCTTTTATAGTCCACCTCACAATTTCCAGATTCTTCCAGAGAAGAGAATAAAAAGAAACCAGTTTTGGAAAGACTTGGAAATTTGTTTGGTACAGGAAAAAGGAAAAATGTCAAAAGTTCACTAGAACACAGTTCGCATCGGAAAGGGGAGAGGTCAGTTTCTCCTTACAGAGCACAACCAATATACTGCAGGCACACAAAGGAAGGACACGAAGCTCCTCAAGTACAGAAGCAAGTGAGGAACATCAGTGCTGTTTCTGAGACGCAGGAATATAATTTCAGTGGTGAAGTGGGACCACTGTATCGCGATACCATTTCAGAATGGAGTAGTAGGGGAGTCTCTTCTGACAGTGAGTGGTCAGCAGATTGGAGCAGCAGCAGTGAAACCATTAAAAACTCTTTCTTTGAGAGTAGCCTGAATGTGGAAACCTTGGAACTGGAGAAAGAATCTGTCACAGATATAAATAATTCCACGACTCCAGATTTCATAAAAAGCTTGAGAAATTTGTCTAGTGAAGACTTAGAAAAGAGTATCTTAAGCCACAAGCAGCTTGTGAACACGTGGGTGTCTGAGGAGCCTGGGCATGCAAAACCAAAGGATTTGCCATACGAGTTGGAATCTGCGGTGAGTGAACACACACATTCTGCTAGAGTGTTAACAGTTGATATCTATCTAAGAAAAACAGACGAACTCCTTAATGAACCCGTGACTGTTACGTCAGAAGAAAATTGTAGTTACTCGGACACAATGGATAAAAAATCTGCTAATAAAAGATCTGGAAAAAGGAGAAAATCTCAGTCGTCTAGTGATATTCCAAACGGAGAGAGAAACCAGACTGAAACTACTGCAAGAGAAGAATCAGGTTTTGAGGATGATGTCCCTTCTGAGGTGTTTTCAGACAAGATAATAAACTCGGAAAGAAAAGCAAAGTCTCCTCAACAGACTCCTGAAAGGAATTCCTCTTCCCCAGGTAATAATCAGGACCTAAAAGTTGGATCTGCTCACAAAGGGACATCCAAAACTGAGGCTGACAAAGGCAAGCAGCAAATCTCAAATACAACCCCTGCAAGGAGAAGATCATATAAAAAGAGTCAGTCGGATGGTGTTCCCGTCTCCCCTACGGGTTTGAAGGGTCAGGTAAAAGATTACTCCTCGAAAAGGCAACCTACAGCATCGCCAGAGAGTAACCCAGTGTTAAAAAGAACTTCGGTGGAAAAGGGAACTATACCTTTGGCTCTTGGGGAAGACAGCTTGGAGTCTCCCAAAGCTTCTTTGGCTGATAAGACAGAAGACACTGCCTTGGTGTTTGCTGAAGCCAGAAATGAGACCAAGGCAGTAAAGCATGGTAATGGTTCAGATGGAAGAGCTTTCTTGCGTTCTGATGGGATTAAAAGTGGAGACCTGTGCATTCCAGCTGAGACGCGGACATATTCTGATTTAGACAGCTTAAAGTTGAAGAGTTTGGATGCTTCCAGAACAGTCATGACAAAGATTAGCCTGTAAGTACCATAAACTAGTTTGCCTTATCCCTGTAGCTTAATTTTGCCTGTGTCTGTGTTTAGGCTTCTGTAGGAACACTAGCTATGTATCTGTCATCCACCTAGATTATTTCCAACTGAGAACTGCTTTTTTTTTTTTAATGTATCATAGTCACAGTTACCACTTAGCAAGCACTGTAGTTTACATGTGCTAGGAAAATAATTATTTTTTTCCATCTTTTTGAATGGATATAGAATTTCTTTGTATGTCAATTCCATTATATGGAATAATTTAACGTCCATAAAGGCAGCTCTGTCGTCATCCTCAGTGCCCATGTTGTTGTTCAGATTAGCTTGGCTAATTGGCTCATGTAACTTTGCTGTCTGTAACCAACTGAGGATGTGGTTGAAGATTCTGGATGTGAAAATCTTTCAGCAAGGATTGTGTTCAAGTTGTTCTCTGAAACAACTTAAATTCTGCTGTTGTTTTATGAAGAAATGTAGGATGCAGTGTAGAACTTGATCCTTCAAATGACATAAATCACACTCCAGAAATTTGAATATGTATAGTTACTTTTGTAAGTATGTGCAGGATGAATCATGTAAATTTTTATGCATGTGAATAACATCAGCCATTTGCAGAATTATGCATATATTAGTTTGCAGGATTTGCTTGTACGCTCCAAGAAATTATCTGTTAAACAGAGGTGATCAGTGCTTTCCTCAGGATTGTATAAAAGTGGATGGATTTCTAACCTTCGCTGTAATCACTAGTATGAGTCCAGCAATTGATTTCCTGCATTCTATTACATTCTGTTCTACGGTGAATTATTTTATTGCATTTGTCCCTTCTGTTGTTTGATTGTCACGGCTATGTACTATGTGCTATTGCTTTCCTCATTCTGGTACATTTATTTATAGGTGTCAGAGTACACTGAATTCTGTAGGTCCACCTGAGGTACACCGAGTGTTCAGAATTGTCATTCGCTAGTGTTAGAGGGATGTGAAGGTTCAACATTATGGCTTAAGAAACATATATTTTTCCATTTATGCTTCCCATGTCTGAGAAGCCTGGGAGCATTAGGAACAATTTCCTTTGCATAGTTTGTAAGCCTCTACATCTGATTTGTTCATTATTAACGGAATTAAATTTCGGCACCTAGTACTGAAAGTTACATTGTTTTACTTTTGTACATGGTGATGCTTTGCCATGTGGCAGTATAGATCAGAAATCTTAAACTCTGAAGTTTTGTATCTTCACAGCTTCAAAGGAAAGGTAGCATTCGTATTTTTCTCTTTGTGTCACTGTCATTAGTGATGTTGAACTTATAAATGCTTGCGTAGCTGGATTTTGTTTCTATGGGTATCTCCTTGGCTTGCTGTACAGTGAATTATCTTCTGCTGTACTCAGAAAGTAATAGACAAGTACCCTTTCTGACAGATTTAATTTTAATGAATAAACAGCCTGCTCTATTTCACCTGATTTTGTGAGGTGTGTGCCAGTCTGTGTCTTGGCCTTATCTGCTGCCCTAGGAACTTTAGCCTCGGGTGGGGACCGCCGTGTTGCATGCAAGGTTCCTGATGCATCTGGTAGCTGTTGTTGCACAGTACCACAGTTTCCTTAGTCAGGCAAATTGGTACGGTCAGATTACCTGCTATAATTTGTAGTCATTCATCAGAACACATGAACTATAAACCTGGATGCGCTGCTGTAAAATGAGAAAAGATGGTGCCATTACTAGAAGAAGGTGTGGTTTTGTTCTCTTGTTATTGCTTTGAACTAGAGAACAGATAACTTTTCCATTTTCAAAGGTTAAAAATTATTGTTAGGTGTTGCACGTTAATCCATTTCAGGTTGAAAAATACTCATTTACCTACAGACTCGTTTGCCTCCTATAAGATGGATTTTGTATAATCAAAGTAGTTTTCACTTTAAAATGCATGATGTCTCTTAGTAAGGACATTGTGCCAATTCTGGGAACCATGCTTCTTTAGAAACAATTTTAAAATAAGTCAGTTTTACTGGTTCCCTGTAAGTAATGATAGCATTTTCTGTCTTCTCTCCTTTTATGTCGGTACTGGGCAGCTTGGAAGTCAGGGGATACTTTGTTTCTAGCTTTTGAAAGGGAAACCTATCAGCTTTGAGTCAAAACTGAAGTTGATGGTACATCTTAATCAGCAAATAAAACCTTAAGCTGTAGTTACTTGGATGTGCTTAGCGGAAAACTTGGCTTCAGTTGTCATATATGATGTTCAGACATGGTTTTGTAGTTGCCTTTGCATTTGTGCCCACTCGTTGATTTATTCAGCTCTGTTAACATGCCATTTTATTTTGCTCACCTCAATCTGATGTTTTGGCATCGATATTTTTTGGCATCAGTTACATGCTTGACATGGTCGTTTGGACAGTATGCTTCAACCGTGTGACTCACCTTCCATTTATGACTATACCGGGAGAGGTTTAACTGCTTGCTTCCACAGGTTAGCTGCAAGGTGTAGCCAAAGAGAAGGACATCAGTATTTCTCTTGTGCCTGCTTGTTCCTGGCGTTGCAGATCTGCAATGAGTATGAGGAATCAGCCACACTGGGCTGTTCGTAAGAAAGCATTTGCACTGTTAAGTAAATCCATCTTTCAGTGCTTTTCCCCCCATACTAGAGGGGAGGCTTAAAGGATACTCAAACAACGTCTCCTCCTTTTAAACAAGCTTAGAAACTCAGGTCTTGTAATAGGGTGCATCTTTTGACTGAACTTTAAATCAGTGTTTCTTAGTTTGGAAAGAGGTGTAATGAAAAGGTCAGTTAGAGGAGGCCAGTGTCATGGTTTAGCACCAGCCAGCAATTCAGCAGCACGTAGCCTCTTGCTCACTCCTCCTCCCTCCCAATGAAATGGAGAGAAGAATCAGAAAAAAAGTGAAACTCGTGGGTTGAGATAAGAACAGTTTAATAACTAAAGTAGAATATAATAATAACAACAATAATATTAAAATAATAGTAATGAAAAGGAATATAACAAGAAAGTGAGAGAAATAAAACCCAAGAAAAGACAAGTGATGCACAGTGCAGTTGTTCACTACCTGCTGACCAATGCTCGAGCAGCAGTCCGTCCCTCCTGGCCAGCTCTCCCCAGTTTATATACTGAGCACGACGTCCTATAGTGTGGAATATTCCTTTGGCTAGTTTGGGTCAGCTGGCCATGCTCCCTCCCAGCTTCTTGTGCACCTCCTTGCTGGCAGAGCATGGGAAACTTAACATCAGTGTGTTACTGACATTATGCTCACACCGAATCCAAACCACAGCACTGTACCAGCTGCTAGGGAGAAAACTAACTCTCTCCCAGCCAAATCCAGGACAACCGGCTGTAATGGTTGGAGCTCCAGGGCTGAGGTTTCCATTGCTCTTCAGTCCCAGGTGTTTTGCTGCTGCTGCTGTGCAAAAATACTGCAGAATGTAAAATACCTAGTGCTGAAGTGGTTGTTTCTGTGTAAATTTGCAAAGCTTGAAACTATACCTTTGAGGTGTTAGCTGTTCATTTAAATCAGGTTTTAAGTATGGCTGATAACTGTTGGTGTTAACCGTCAAACTTGCTTGTGTCAAGGCACACAAGGAGATGGATTTTATTAGGAAGATACGTGTTGTTATGTTGAAATGGACGTAGTAGCGCAGATGACAGGCTGACAAAAGGATGGTACAGAAATGGGTCTGTTAAGATAACTAGGCCGTGATCAATACCTCTTGAAAATACAGGTAGAAGGAGAGATTAAGTACCTTTTTTCTGATCAGAGAAGGACGTGTAGTTTCCTGGTGAATAGCGAATTCAGCACGTGTCAGTGCATCCTTGTAGCAGATGAAGGCTAACCCTGTGCTGGGCTACACTGGCCGGAGCAGAGCCGAAGGAGAAGATACTTGGTGCTCATGAGGCTGCATCTGGGGCATTATACTGAGTTGTACCCTGCCCTCCTCTTCCAACTCTCTTCCCCTGGTACAAGAGAGATGTTCACAAATTGGAATGAGTCCAGTGGAGAGCCATTAAGAAGGTGATGGCACTGGAGCATAACGTGTATGAGGAGAAGCTGAAGCAGTTTGATTTGTTCAACTGAGAGAAGGATTTGTGTAGACCTTAATCATCTCTCGCTACCTGTAGAGTTGTTATAGAGAAGGCGAAACTAGATTGATCCTTGAGGTGTACAGTGAAGGGACTGTGGCCATGGTTGCAAGTTGCAACAGTGAAGTTTCAATGAGATCTAAAGCAAAAATGATTCACAGTGACAGTGACTGACCTGCTGCAGTGCTTCCCTAGTAAGGCTGTGAAATCTCGACCCTTGGAGATACTCATAACTTGGTCAGACAAAGCCCTCAGTAACTCGATTTAACTTTGAAGCTGTCCCTGTTTTGAGCAGGAAGTTGGACTAGCTGTGCCTTAGAGGTCCCTTGCAACTTATATTAATTTTCCAACAAGAAAAAAATCATAAAATAATTTAACTTTGAGGAGTTTAGAGAAAACAGTCATACTGCAAATGAAGAGTAGTGTCTAAATATATTTAATTTTATGCTGTGTGGTAGTTCCCTCTCTGCCTTCCCCCTTTCAGGCATAATTTTTTTCTGTTTCTAGACTTAAATTTTTCAAATGTGTTTTATTAGCACCAGTCATTTTTAAAGTTTACTACTTCCTTTTTTTATTGATCTTGTGCTCTTCCTCAGAGCCTTCCAGTTGTGAATCAACGTGAGCAGTCTGGTAGTTAGAGTGAGCGCTGTCAGGAAGTCTTCTTCAAAAAGATACGGTGATTTTTAACAGTTGCTTTCTGTATAGATTCCTAGGCAGCTGATTTTGGGTTCCTTCTTTTATTTCAGTAAGTTTGTTCCCTATGTTTTTCCCAAGAAAAAAAGCTTGTAGAATGGAGAGTCTTGCTTTAATAAGGTTTACTTTCTTAATTGGGATGGATTTCTTGAGGAAGAGGAGAAAGGAGTGATCTCAGTTTTGAGGTTGTTCATGTTAACTCACTTGCACCTCACAGTTCTTTCTTGGGCTAGAGAGCTGTCTGAGAGCTCAGTGAACACAGTTTGTGTAGGTAAAAAAGAAGAAAGCACTTAAATAGCAGAATCATCCACTGTCTGCTGGAGCATTTGAGGCCCTGGAGATTGTCGCTCCAAGCTAGTTTCTTTTACCTCACACCATAATTGATTTTCTTGTAGTGCAGCTTCTGCCTGTTCTCCCACTGCTGATTGTTACCAGATTCCTGCCTTTGAGGTGATGGTGGGGTCCTTGACACTCCTTATAAATACACTACACTCCTGATAAATTTTGAACACATGTGCCCTGTGTCCTCACAGCTTTTCATACTGCTCCTGCAGTAGCAAGTGGCATGGACAGATGATTTTTCCTGGATTCAGAGGAAGGAGGCTTAAAACCCTCAGCTGTCATCAGCCTTCTGCTGTAGTACATGAGTACTCTGTGCTATGTACTTGTAGATGCTTCTCTATTCACTCTGGAGAAGTCTCTGTAAGTGTTTCCTAATTCAATTCTTGTGAAATCAGCAGGGTTAGTTTACACTGTTTAAGTTGTTAGATGACTTTACCTGAAGGAAATGGGAGAGTCCTCACATGTGGTGGTTCACTTAGGCAAGTGGTGATGCAGTGACTGGGGACAGTTACCTTTTCCACCAGCACTCATGACACCAGGAGAGGTCTTTCACTGGATTTAAGGTTGCTCCTGCAATGTAAGGGCTGCAAAGAACCTGGGCAGATGTTTTCAAAACTTGTTGGAGAGGTATATTCAAATGTTAACCAACTCATTATCACCTTAATGAATTGGGATTTGTTTCCTAAACTCTGTAGGGAATTGCATGTGTATAATTTATTCTGCCAATTCACTATTAAATTTTCATGTCTGTCAGTCATAAGTAGTTAAGTTTTCTGCCTCAACTGCAGATGCTGTAGGCTGCTGTGTTTTTTGTTTTACTGAGCATTGAAGAACATGTTTGAAATGTGTTCTTATTTAGTGTCTAGTTTTCTTGTCATTCTTATAGTTACTCCTTTTTTTTTAGTTAATTCTTTTTGAGATACTAAAATTTAAACTGGATATGACTATGGAAAACTTCATTATAATGCTATATTTTATTATTTTGAAAATTGTTACAAGCCTTCTCAAGATTAATCAAAGATGTAACTCTGTATCACTTTGCCCCCTGTAGTCCAGCCAAACCGAAGAATGTAGAGCTGAATTTTAAAGCATCTACGAATCAAGACAGTTTAGAAAGTGAGCAGGATACTCTTGAAAAACCAGTTAATAAAACTAACAGCAACATTGCCAACAAAATTTCCTTGTTTGAAAATAAATGCGCTAACCAGAGCCAGAGGCCTACTGACATCCCTGCTTCAAAAAATAGTACTGTACCAAGCACATTTGTTGGCAGAGCAAAGCTGAAATTTGGAAAACAACCTAAGGAAAGCGAACAGCCTGATAAAACGTTAAATAAGCAAAGCAGTCGCCAGAAGTTGTTTGAGAATGGCACACCAGAGAAAGAAAGCACTGCAGAATTGAAAGGCAAAAATGAAGAAGGCTCTGCCTCTCATGAGGATGTTGGGAAGACAACGGAACTTAAAGTAAAAGCTGCAATATCTCTTTTTAACCAAAGCAGCAAAACTGATGCTAGTAGTGTCTCTCTGAAGCAACCCGATCCAGAATTAACCACAGCTAAAAAAGAAAGTTCACCTTTGAAACTGCCCTTGCACTCGCCCAGTAAAAGTGAAAATGCTCAAGATACTTCCTGCCAAAGAAATAACACGAGCTCAGAATTCCACAGAAATGAAGAAAAGATGCTGCCAAACACAGAGGTTTTATCGCCTTGCAATGATGACAAATATCTTCTACCACCTCATCAGTTTTCTACATCAGAATTCAAGAATATGGAAAATGGGGATAAAAAGGCAAAACCGGGAGATTTGAGCTTTGCAGCACCGCAGTTTGATGACAGCAGTCAAGACAGTATATTGATATCAGAGCACAGCAGCAATACACAAAAGAGCCCAGGCAAAACCTGTAATGGATCTGCTGAAGACGATAGCATTTTTGATTCCCCATCCGACATGAAGAAGTTTGCTGAAACAATAAAAAACTTGGACAGCTCAGTTTGTTTACCCCAGAAAAAGAAGAGGTCAAAGCTTCCCAAGTCTCCAGCACCCCACTTTGCAATGCCTCCCATTCATGAAGACAACTTAGAGAAAGTATTTGATCCTAGTGTGTTTACTTTTGGTTTGGGACTGAGGAGGGAAAAAACACAGGATCTGTTACCAGCTCAACAAATTAAAATGCAAAGCCTGGAAACGATAGCAAAAGTCAGACCGAAGCGTGCATCAACAGAGCAAAGTATCGTATTCAAAGCCCTGCAATCATGTAATAGAGAGGAACCTGCCTTTACTCAGGAGGTAAATGGAAAAGAGAACACTGATGGTACAGATGGTGAAATTAAGAGATCCCGAATTGAAAAGAGCTCCCTCTTCTCAAGCCTGCTGTCGTCTACATCTAAAGAGAAGTTTTTTAATCCTTCTGTCACCTCGGTAAATAACACCGCAACAGCTTTTGCAAATGACTCCTCAGGGATGCCTCCTTTACAGCAGGATGCTTCTGGGCCATTCAACATGCCTCAAAAATCTGAGGTAATAAAGGTCGTTCGTGAAATGTAATTATGTAAAATTTTGTCTACCTGATGAGTGACTGCTAATTTTGATTTTGCAATTCAGTCTCTTTCAGATATGAAGTTTCCAAGTTTTGTGGAGAAGTACATGCAAGCAGATAGTGCAAAAAAAGAACTAAGTTTACAAATGCCCAACTATGGGAATCCCGAGAAAAGTTTTTCCAGCTGGTTAGGAACAAGCAGATACGAATCAAATGTCCCCACTGGCTTGTTAGATGTGGATGTAAGTATTGTGGTGTTCAAAATCTGCCAGAAAAGTTGACCAGCTTTTGTATTTTCTATAGACAATGTGCGTACATTGTTTTGTTTTGTTTCCCCTCTTAGGGACGTACATAGATTACAAATAGAGGTGAATGTAGGTATGGTACCGGTTTCATCTGATGTTGACTACACATGAAAATGAGATGACATCTATTAATATGATTATATTTCTTCATGGTTGCCCCTTTTTTTGAGACTCTTCACAAATATGAATTGGAAGTGTATGTCTGAATGTATCTTCATGCTTGATTTTGTATTATTTTGAAACAAATCTCATGCTAACTTAATTTTTTTTATTGTAAATTAGTAAATGTTTTCCGTGAACTTCAGAAAACTTGTGCCTGCTTCTTCTGTTGACAGTAATCTCTTCTTCCAGCAAGATGTTCAGCCATTGCACAGTTAAATTAGTAAGAGGGCAAACTTTTTTAGCCCTCTGTTTTTGTTCCTGGTATTCCTGTTCATTTGATAGAAAATATATGTTCTTTAAGAATACTTTAAGAACTGAATAGTAGTGATTGTTGAAAGTCCTGCTGAAGTGGAGGGCTGTCCCTTTGTCTGATGATGAGCATCTATTCATCACGAGTGAAGGCAGACCCGTGTTTTCCCTTTGAGGCAACTTCACCCTAATGTGCGAGGAGTTTGTAATTTCTATTTTCAAAGTGATGAACTGGTGTCCTATAGTATCTGCTGTTTCTGTTAATGTGGGCCTTTACAGTTTTCCTCTTGGGTAACAGTAATCAGGAGATCTAAGAACCATGGAAAGAACTATGTTCTTCAGAGTTTAATAGCTGCATTAATGTGACTGGTGGAGTTGAAGCAGCATGTAAGAAGTTTGAGAAATACTTTTCCAAAGCTAATGGTTATTTGCTGTTACAGTTCTACTAAAAGGAGTGGTAGAAATAAACCCTTTCTTCTTTACCTTGCAGAAGGAAATCATCCATGGTACCTTGCAATTTGAGGGTGTAGATTTTTCTCTCATGGGAAGTTTTTTGTTTAGTGTGGGGACGAAAATTAGAGGGATTGTTTGCAGTGATAGAGACTCGTGCTGCCAGTTAAAAAGGCTTTCTTACTCTGGGTGGTCTTGCTTGGATTTCAAAACCTGAGTCTAAAGCTTAATGACTAGTACTGATTTTTTCTGCTAGTTTAACTGTTGTACCTGAGTGGGTTTCTATTTTTCAGTAGAGTGTGGAGACCTGATATGACAAGGAGGTATGCAGATGCCTAAGACTGCTCTTGAGAGAAGCCCATTAGGTTCCAAACAGTTCCAGGACTTCCTGTGGCACTGTTTCTGGCTCTGAATTGTCTTGCTCAAGTTAGACAGGAACTGAAAATGTTTGCATGATGTGTATCTACTATGCATCTTCCACTGACTAAGAAAATGATTCAATGGCTAATGGGTAATGTGAAGGAAAAGAGTAAGGGCAGCCCCAAACAATGACTTTGGCATTCCTTAAAAGACAGAGCAAGTCCTAGCTGGAATTGAAGCACAGGCTAAAAAACCAGTCGTGCTTCAACGTGTCTTGATGTTGCCTGCTAAAATCTGATGGTGTTTAGGAACTCCGTCCTGAGACCACTGCCTACCCTGCATGTTGACTAATACGTTCTCATTAGTTTCTTGCATGTGTTGCTGATTATCCCGGGCTGTAACCTATTTAGGGGCAGGATCTGTTTGGGTATTTTTGTCTGTATGAATAGTTCTTACAAGAGCGAGACAGCGTCCCAGAACGAGCGCTCCTTTCCGTGCTAGGAAACCAAACACATAATTGCAGCACTTCCTTTATTTGTTTTAAGATGACGTGATGCAACCACAATTTTCCCATATGTTCTACGTCATATAGTTTATCATTGACTTAAACATTGTTTAGATTTTGTATACCTCAACGTGTTTTATTTGTTCTCAGCGTTTTTAATCTATCGCTTATTGCACAGTCTCAAAGCTTTTTGAAAAAACCTGTCTTGTTACAAGGTATTCAGCACAAAATTTATTATGCTAGCTAGTTGGTATGTGTATATGCCATCATGCCTCCTTAGTCTTCTCATATATTCCTTCAAAATTATTTCATGCTTTATGGTTCCTAGACATTTAAACTTTCATTAATATCTTTATAATTGTAGAGCATGTACCTTATTAATGCCAGTTTTTTAAGTATGAAACTCCTGGAATATATAGGAAGTAGATCAGAAAGATTTTGAAGCATTTCAAGACTCGTTGACGTTAGTTTGCTTTAGTGAGATAATAATTCAGAGGTTTTTTTTTAAAGAAACAGGTGTGTAGATTTGTACATTTGTGGCAAGATACTGCTCTTTAGGAGGCAGAAGGAATTGAAGCAGTAAGTAGATGTAGTTCAAGTGCTGTCGGCTTTTTACTATACAAACTGATTTGTATTTTGCTTTACTAGCTCTTTTTTAATAGCTGAGCATCTTTATTGAATATGTTTTTGGTTTGGTGGGGTTTTTGGTGACTTTTCTCTCCCTGCTGTCCTTTAGGCACTTTCAAGAAATGGACAAAGTAAAATCAATCCCAGACCTGGCAAGGTAAGATCTGTTTTATTATCTTTACCATTCCTCTCTATGTTTAAAGCATAGCAAGATAAAATTTTATGTTGTTGGTGTTTGTGGGGTGTTTTGTTTTGTTTTTAACACAGCTGGTGATATACTGTGAATCAGACTATCAGAAAAATGGCATTGAAGTTTTCCATGATGTTCTGGATTGCAGTTCTTGGGTTCTGTCACCAACAATTTTAGTTAAAGTCATCAGAGGATGGTAAGAGATTAATTTTTGCTCTTTATCATTGGTCTATCCAAAAATCTTTTGAAACATAACCAGCATGTAATTCACAGTAAGCCTCCCTTGCAAATGGCAATGGAACATAGACACCTATGAGTGAGAAATGTGGCATTTTACCTCTGCAATAGAAAGTTCTGGGTCAGGAAACTTACTTTGCTGACAGATGAGTGAGTGTTACCTTCTGGAGGGGTGCAGCCTTTCCCCAGGCATAGGCGTGGGATGAAATGACAGATTCTGTCCAGCTATGCTGCCCTGTGACTCCTCTCCCCTTTGTGGGTTCTTGCATAGTATTTGGATTGGGCTAAAAGGCTAACAAACGATTTTAAAGCCAGGTCTGACATGGGTTTGGATGCAGAAGATTAATTCTGTGTCCAAAGGTATAAGGTGGTGCTGTAGAGATAATTGATTGATTCTCAGATAGGCAATCGAGCTTTTAAGGAAAACTTCCCTCTAACTTGTTTTGAATTACTCTAAGAGTAATTCAAAACAAGTTCCTCTCCTACGTTCGTCGTAGCATTAACAGAACAGCCGTTATTAGTGTGGATAGCATGGCCAGTTAAGTTGTGGCCAGGCTATAATACAGTCAAATAGCAGGTTCCCAAAAGTAATGATCTGATAGTAAGGTGCAGAAACAAGGGCTAGCTTCAGTAGGCGGTACTGGGAAGCGCACTGAGTGCTGTTTACCTTCAGAAAGCTGGAATGAAAATCTTTTGATGTGTGTGAACCAGGTTTACTTTTCCGGCATGGTCTAGGGGACTGAGGTGTTTTTTTTTCACCTCTTCCAACTGAGAGCTCCAGGGCAGGGTTTTATATTTGCAGATGGATATAGTTTTTATCTAGTTACATATTCAAACCTGCCATTAAAAATAAAATTGTGCTTGTCTTCTGAGCAGTCTTATATCATCCTTTGGCACACCTATACCAGCCCCTGTGGAACTCCAGGCTGCTGTTCACAGTGTCCAAATACTTTTTCTGTTTATACACGGTGCAGCAGTCTGCAGTGTCAACATTTCTGACCTACAAACTGGTTCTGCTTCGTATTTTATGCAAAAGTCTTGTATTCACAGACAGTAGTCTCGCTGCCCCGAAACATCAATTTTAAAAGGTGGAGGAGCTTTTTATGAAATTGCAGAGTCAGCAGTAGGCATCTTTGTTTTTATAATTGTTTTTAAAAATATCACAGAAACCAGAAAAAGCTCGTATCAGCAGTGTTGGACGAATATGCTGTATTGGGGTGGTGGGAAGGGTCTGGAAATAATAATTATGAAAGGATTTGTTAAATGGGAGCACGATTTTTGCAAATTACACTTGATAAAGCACCATTAAAAATGAGAAATTTTTATTTTAAGCTGGATACTCTATGAGAAACCAAATTTTGAAGGCCCCTCTATTCCCCTGGAAGAAGGAGAGCTGGAACTCCCAGATATTTGGGGTGCAGGTACTTCTGAAGAGCAAAGTGAATGCAAATCTCTAAAGCCTGCAGTGATTGGTTCAATAAGACATGTTGTTAAGGCAAGTAATACAAGTAAAAAAAAAAATGTATAGATCTTAATGTTTGGTGATGTTTTATACTGAAACAAAGTGTAAGTGGTGTATTAGGACACAAGTTGTAAATGCATGAAACAATCTTCCCTGTTGAATTTCTTGTTTAATCACAAAATAGATGTGGGGACTTTTGCACAATGGGGATTATAGTAACATTCACTGTAAGGGTAGGGCAGGAAGAAAACTTTGTGTTTTTTATTAGAATAGCCTCCAAAATGCTATGTACAGCATGTGCTTTTTAGCCTAGTCAATCTCTCAGGAAAAACATCCTAGAAATTCATCAGTAATTCCACAGACTCATATTTTCAAAAGATGTATGTGACTTTTTAATCAAATTTACACTCAACACGAACTTCAGTGTCAAACACCAAACCTTGTTTGATACTCAAAATATAGCCCTGTATGCACAGACTTACCAGGGAGTTTCACACGTGGTGGAACAGCCTTCCTACATGCACTTTTAACCTACCATTAAATAGTTACCTTTGCAGGTTGCCAAAACAAGCACGAGCTATGAAGTTATTTGACTAGGAAATGAAAAAGGAGGAATATATATATTGCTTGTAACTACAATTCTTGTTTAAATTCCAGCTCTCTTCAAGAATGGCTTGCCTGGTGTTGTCTTGGGATTTAATTTGCTAGAGGAGATGTTAACTGATGAAAGAAGATGCATGCCTGCCTAGACGGCAGAAAGTAAACAATATAAATGCTGGTTAGAGATTGACTGACTGTCTTGGTCCAGACAGACAGGCAGGCAAACTGGCCTAGTAATACTTTTATTATAGGCATCTAATAGCAGTAGTAATTGAAAAGGGGGGAAACTATTTAAAATAAACAGATGTTTCAAAACTGATTTAGTTATCCACATTAATTACAGAACTCGGAGCGCAAATTAAGTGATTATGGCAATCTTCATTTTTTAGGATTACAGGGTTTGCCGAATTGATTTGTATACAGAACCTGAAGGGTTAGGAATCGTGACTTCCTTTTTTGACGACACTGAAGAAACAGGGGTGTTTGGCACCACTCAGAAGACTTGTTCTATCAAAGTACACTGGGGCATGTAAGTGCGTAGTTCTGTGTGAACGTGTCCTGCTATGAAAGGAATTTGTTTTAAACCATTGATTACACCTGTCAGACATGCAAGCAGGCTATATTTATTCCAGTCCTATGTTTTGATAGTATTTACTGACAGTAACATTAGTACATCATTGTAATGCTTCACCCTTGGAGGGGCTGACCTGTTAAAATGTTTTGTTAGATCCAGTTTTAATTCTGCTTGCATGTAGTAAAGACAGAGTAACCCTTGTGTATTTGTAGCAAAGGAATGAATCCACCTCTCCTGCTCTTGCCCATTCAGGCAAACTTATTATTAGTGAGAGTGGGGGGGATGAACTGTTATGATAAGATCCCAATTCCTTCTTGCTTTCCTCTAAACTTGAAATTATTTTATTAAAGAAGAAAATTTTCAAGCCCATGTATTACAAAATAAGAGTTAGTGTCATGTGCAGACTCTGGAAAGCATTCTCGTATTTCACAGTGCATTTTAATCAATGTTTTTATTGTGATGTTTAGGACATGTATGTTATGTCACCTGAAAATATCTAGCTATCTGAGTTAGGAGTGTAACGTATGCCATGAAATAAGCAAGCTTTTATGAGAAATGAGACCTCTAAGGAACAATCCATACGCTATACCAATGATACAGTTTTGGTAGCTTAATAAACAAACTTGTAAATCGGTACTGAAAATGTGCCTCAAAGTGGTACTGGGAGAAGTATGCAGAAGAGGGAGTCTGCTTTCAGGAAAAGTGAGAGAGTGAAACCGCTTTCAGTGATGCTGGGTCCTGCAGAACATTTTGCAGGGTGCACAGGCCTTGGTTGGTACCTCTTGGCCGTGTTGTGTTTGGGCACTCGTAGCATTTGCCTTGCTGTAAATGGTTTATTTAACTGCCCAACTAAAGACAAGACTTATATAGCACTGCAAAGATGCATTCGAGTATGCCACATGATAGATGGGGCATTTTAGTTGTTATGTGAAGGGTATTTTATCTGATTAAATCTTTACACCTTGATTTGGGGGGAAAACGAAGCACTTGGGTAGATAAGGAAATTTTAAGATGTCCAAGTAGTTGGTTCTCTGACCAGAGGTTATTTCTGTCGAATCGCAAGCTTAATCCAAATTATGTGTCTGCCAAGTGTAATAAAATCAGATATGTTATTTGGAGGTTGATTATTAATTGACTTCATCTACCTTTCCATTTTATTTCTGTCCCTCACTTAAAAGCAGTCTATGAATAGTGAAATTGCAAAATTTTTGGAAAGGAAACAGAGCCTGTGTACATATCTCAGTCTTCAAACTGGTTCTTGTTTTGCACCTGTGACAGCGTTTTTTGCATTAAATTTGTCTGCAGTCTTAATTTCTGTTGCATTTGGATCACTTGAGGGAAGGCAGACTGATATTTGCACCAGGAAGCAAACCAGACAGTTGAAAAATAATCTTTCTCAGATGTCAGTCCATCAGTTCAGTGTAGAATGAAGTTGCTTCTGCCAGTTGCTTCCATGAGAAATTCAGTAAATTGATGCTGCTTTTTTGCATGTTGCAGGGGTTTTTCTTTCCTTTAGTTTACAGGCATCAGTACACTGTTGGCAGTGGAAGGATGCTGTCATTCTGAGTCACCTTGCCATGTGGGTGTGGTTGTATCTTCTTAAATTTTCCCAGTGTTTGTGCTTAATTGTTGTTTACTAAAAGCTGCCAACAAAAATGAGTCAATGCACCTTTTGTCTTTTGATTTTACCCTCTCCTTGGTCTTCCATGTGTTTAAATTTTTGCAGTGAAGTTAGAACCATAGAATCTTAGAATTGTAGAATCGTTTAGGTTGGAAAGACCTTTAAGACCATCGAGTCCAACCATTAGCCTAACACTGCCAAGTCCACCACTAAACCACGTCCCTAAGTGCCACATCTACACATCTTCTAAATACCTCCGGGGATGGTGATGCATCCGCTTCCCTGGGCAGCCGGTTCCAATGCTTGACAGCCCTTTTGGTGAAGAAATTTTTCTTAATATCCAATCTAAACCTCCCCTGGTGCAACTCGAGGCCACATCCTCTTGTCCTATCGCTTGTTACTTGGGAGAAGAGACCAACACCCACCTCGCTCCCCCCTCCTTTCAGGTAGTTGTAGAGGGCGATAAGGTCTCCCCTGAGCCTCCTTTTCTCCAGGATAAACAACCCCAGTTCCCTCAGCAGCTTCTCATAAGACTTGAGCTCTAGACCCTTCCCCAGCTTCGTTGCTCTTCTTTGGATGTGCTCCAGCACCTCAGTGTTATTTCTTGTAGTGAGGGGCCCAAAACTGAACACAGAATTTGAGGTGCGGCCTCACCAGTGCCGAGTACAGGTGGACAATCCCTTCCCCAGTCCTGCTGGCCACACTATTGCTGAAACAAGCCAGGCTGCCACTGGCCTTCTTGGCCACACTGCTGGCTCATATTCAGCCGACTGTCGACCAGCACCCCCAGGTCGGGGTCTTTCCAGCCACTCTTCCCCGAGCCTCCAGCATTGCGTGGGGGTGTTGTGACCCCAGGGCAGGACCCGGCCCTGAGCCTTGCTGAACCTCATACAGTCGGCCTCGGCCCATCGCTCCAGCCTGTCCCGATCCCTCTGCAGAGCCTTCCTACCCTCCAGCAGATCAGCGCTCCCGCCCAGCTTGGTGTCACCTGCAAATTTACTGAGGGTGCGCTACATCCCCTCGTCCGGGCCGTTGGTAAAGATATGAAACAGAACTGGCCCCAGTGCTGAGCCCTGGGCAACACCACCTGTGACTGGCCATAAGTTGAGGGCTTACTGAGTGGTGTGACTACAGGACACACGATATACCAAGCATTCAGCTATAGACGGCAAGAAAGCTGAAGCTCCTTGATTGTTTCTTGGAACCAGATGTCCGCAGTGAAACTATACAAACTTGTGCCATTTACATCAGCTTGGAATCTGCCTTTTAAGCATGATAGAGTGATGGATTATTTTAACATCTTTCCGATATCACCAGATTTATCCATTATGATCCTTACACGATTAAAGGGTTGGTTGCATAAAATGTTCCTGTTTAATCTGTGTTTTATACTGCTCCGTGCTGCACTTCTGAGAGATCAGTAAATTTAACTGGAAGTCATGCATTGCCATCCTTATGCAGAGATGAGCAGTGTGTTTCTTTGTTTCCAGTAAGTGATTACTGGCTAACATTTTCTTGAAAAAATACTGTTGCTGCCCCAGTCAGGAATTTTGAAAGTTATGTCTTTCAAAGCAGATTTATTAGCAGATACAAACTATCAGAAAGTAGACTTCTAAGGAGTTGTCAGGTTTTTCTATGTATGTGTAAGCAACACAAGTTTAGAGTTTTCTATTAAACAGATTTTGCAACGAATCCAAGTCTAGGTTAGTAGAGATCTTTCATCTTCTTGCAAATTGGTTCTACGTATTTTAAAACTAGTGTAAAAATAATACAGAGTAACCTTAAGTCTTGAAACTTTAGTCTAAAACTTGGATTGCCTTCAGGTAGGACAGACAGATTCTTAACTGTCTGTTCATTGTACTGATCCTTTTTTTTCGCCTATTCAAACAAGACACATCTATTATTGGTGGTTCCTGCACAGGCAGGAAGTTTGCCAGTATGTCAGCTTGTAGTTGGCAATTTTGGTGGTAAAGAAATGAAGTTTTACTAAGGATACAATGATGTAGTTTCTAAAGTAAGCATATTGTCTTGTTCTTTACTGGTCAGAAGCATTCTGGGGTCTTTATCTTTTGCTTTCCTTTCCTTGCCTTCCCACCTTTAGATGGCTGATTTATGAAGAACCTGGTTTCCAGGGAGTTCCTTTAATGTTGGAGCCTGGTGAATATCCTAATTTAGCATTCTGGGAGAAGAAGGAAGCCTACATTAGGTCCATGAGGCCCTTGAAAATGGTAAAATACTGTTATTACTTGCAAGTTACATAACCTGTGTTTATGTGTTAGAAATAGTGTGTTAAGGTGGCTAGATTTTTCAGGACTCACAAAATGCAGCTCTTTAAAAAAAAAAAAAAAAAACAAAAAAAAAAACAAAAAAAAAAACAAAAAAACAAAAAAAAATGTTTAGTCTATAAAATTCTTGAACTTTCAACGTTTGATTGAATCCATTTCTGCCTTTAATGTGCCTTCTGATTTTAACTTCTGTTCTTCAAGAAAGGTTTCATCTTCATTCTGTCTTTTTGTGAAGAGTTGATGACTCTTATAGTTGCCTATAAGTTGTCTAACTCTATATATAGACAACTTTTTTCTTTTTTTTTTCTTTTTTTTTTTAACAGGGTGGTCGCAAAGTTGAATTCAGTGGAGAACCAAAGGTAAAAGTCAGTATATATTTGATTGTCCAAAGGTATTTTATAACACATGAACTACACATGGGTAGATAAATATATCTTGACTGTGTACCAACTACTGATGGTTTAGTGGCTGGTCCTACTGTACATGACCACACCCTAAACTGCAATTTCTGTCACATTTAGGCATCTGTCATATGCATATATGCCAGTATTAGCAGCTATCTGGATAATGCAGATGGGTAATGAACATACAAGTCTTCATGTTGCATCTCTAAGGGAAATACATCTTGAAGAGAATCGAGAGATCCCACTAATTAGTTTCATAGTCTTGCCTTCTCCCTCTATGTGCCTGTGCAAAAGAAATTGTGTTGTCAGAATTTATCATGCTCTCTGCAACTTTTATTTTACTTCATTTCTGCTACAGGTAATCGTTTATGAGAAGCCTTTCTTTGAAGGGAGACATGTGGAAATAGAGTCAGAGGTTTTTATGCTTGATGACAAGGAATCAGAAGAAAAGGCGAGACTTCCATTTACATCAGTGGGATCCATGAAAGTACTGGGAGGAGTGTAAGTGTGGAAAAACACCAGCAATATTTCCTCTTCAGCTGAAGTAATAACTATAGGCTGGAAATTGCAATGGACAAATTCAGTACCCACTTGTTTACTCTGTTCTCATAGTTTTTGGGGTTTAGATATATGCTTGGGTTAAATTTGCAATATTTAAAGCAAAAGAATGAATTTCATACATTGATACCTGCTCCATAACAACACAGAATGGCAGTTGTCCGTCCTCACATGCAGACTCTGTTGTTGTTGTTGTTTAGTTGGGTTGCTTATGAGAAGCCTGGGTTTGAAGGCCATCAGTACTTGCTGGAAGAAGGAACGTATCAGGATTGGACAGACTGGGGTGGCTATGATGAAGAATTGCAGTCACTGCGACCGATTGTTGGTGTAAGTCCCAAGAACATACAGTAGGCATCTCCTGAGTGCCCTGAGACGTCACGTTGCATTTTCCTTATGATGCTTCTCTTTGTTTTAACAGGATTTCACAAGCTCCCATATGATAATGTACAGTGAAAAAGACTTTGGATCAAAGGGTTCCAATATTAATGTTTTAGGAATTATTGCCAATTTGAAAGACACTGGATATGGGCTGAGGACACAGTCTATAAATGTGCTAAGTGGCGTGTAAGTGATATTTTTAATTGCTGTTTAGTTTAAAAGGTACTATTCTTTTTAGAATTGGATAGCATTTGCAAATGTTTTTCAGCACACTTATTTCTAATGTCTGTGTGGAGTCTTCAGATAAAATTTTCTGCCCTTGACTTCAGAGTGTGAAAAGTTTTTTGTGAATCTGTACGGTAAATTGGTTTTCTTCTCATGATAAGATCATGTGGTCCCAGGAAAAGTTGACTTACTTATACTCCAAGTATGAAAGTGTGACATTTCATCAGAGAGGGAGAAATCGCTTGTTCTCATGGCTGTATTTTTTTTTTAAAGCATTTCAACAGCAAAGTCATTAAGGAACTAATTTCCAGTTTTGTGTTTTACCAGAGGCAAGTTCCTTGCTCTTTCTCTCAATTTTGTGTAGAATGGAGATCGCTCACTAATATATTCTGATATTAAGGGGACTTTAACTGAAGAGTAACATTGCTTTTGCAGTGAATCCTGTAGGTTAATAGTGGTTTAGTACTGTAGTGGTGTTTTATATTGTTGTTTTTTTTTTTAACACAGTGGTTCCCACAACTTTGCATTGACATGGCTATTAATAAGTCTGCCTCTTTGTGCCACATGTGTTGTCACATGCAGTTGATAAGTCTTTGCTGTTTGATAGACTTTCCTGTTTGATTTGTTCAGTACATCAGGTGCAGACTTGTGTTTCACAGCCTTGCAGACTGCATCAAACTATGTTGGAAATACAAACAAGTACTAACAATCATGTCTCCAAATATACAAAATTGCTTCAAGTAGTAGAACCAAAGGAGTGTGAGACGTACAGTCTCTCTCCCTGCTTGCTGTGGAGGTGACTGCTGAAAGCTCTGCCTTACCCAGCCACACCCTAAATCCTCCTGTGTGTTATCTGTGTGATATCTCTGCAAGTCTTGTCTGGATAAAGATTGCAGAATCAAGCTCAGTGCATTCCAGAGGAATGCTTTTAATTTTTATATGAAGATGGTGTGACAGCGGAGTTTTTTCTGCCTGGTGACCTCTGAAGCTACTGTGCCCTTTTGTCTTCTGTAATATGCAAGGGAGATTCATGGAAAAGTCACCTCTGAAGGCTGGGAAACAAATTGTGGGCTACCTATCATGGTCTTTGTGTAGTTGTTCTAGTAAATGTCTGTTGTAGCTGAGATAGGAATCAAACTTGAGTTTGAGTAGTCTAGTAATTAAGAGTGACTGTAATACTCTGATGGTAAAGGCAGCTAGAAGTCATTGCAAATCGAATTCTTGTCCCACAGATTCTGCTGTAGCAATCTCACCTTGTAGTCTTTTAAAGATGTAATTTTTAGCAATAAGCTTTTTAAAAATTTAGGTGGATTGTTTGTAACAGGTGACTAGCACTCAACTCTTAACAGTCTTGTACGAGCCTTTTGTTTCTAAAGATGTGAGTATTTGGGGGTTTTGTGGTGATGTTCTTAGTAAATGCTAACGTGTCAGAAAGGTTGAATGATTCACATTGTCATGGTTGGTAATAAAATGCTTTATTTTAAGTGTTAAGTAACTGTTCAGGTAGAAAATTTTTATATCTTTCCTTCCAAGAAATCAGTCATAGAGTGATGAATAATCCATTGAGCAATTTCCTGAGCTGTTCAGACTGTAATGTAGCTGATGTCATAGTGAACTGTGACAGATTCAATAAAAGCTTATCATAATATTTTGAAGTAACCTTCCTGGTATCATGTTGAAAATACTTCATTTAAAAAAAAAAAAAAAAAAAAAAAAAATCTAAGGAGCCCTGAGCCTTCCATAGCAATTTTTTAACTACATGTATCTGTGGTAAACAGTTATAGCAGTAACAGATAATCTGTATTTCCCACACAATTAATTTGATTGCCCTGCAATTTAAAGGGTATATCAAAGAAAAGAAAGCCTGACACTGCAGTGCACACACAGTACTAAAGAAGTTCTAAGCTAACCTGCATCTCTAAGCTGTATGCTGAAGACTGCTTAGCTCTGCATTTGGGGAGTGAATATTCCATTTTGGGGTAATTGGGCACTAGCTGCATTAAAATTGTGTTTCTGAGATATGTTTCCGAGTGATATTTTAATGTCCTGGCTAAATCCATTGTAAAGACATTCCCCCAAAAATACCCTAGGGTGATGAGAATTGACTTGTTTAAAAATGAAAATGTTTTGCTCTTGAGTATTCTTCAGAGACTGGCCAAGCATAAAATCCAGGATATTTTATTCTTTTGCCATTTGGGCAGGAGAGAGCAATCAGAGTGCCTGAAAATAGGAGAGGCCTTTATTCTTTTAAGTAGGGTTTGATCTTTACTTCCAAATTGGCAGGATTTTAAGTGGTGGAAAATGGAAGTATTTACTAGCAACAAGTAACACCCTTTACAAGTTTAAGCAAGTACAAAAATCGACTGTTGTACAGTTTTTATTTCCTCTCTGCTTAAGAACTCTTCAAGCTTACGTTTAGTAGTGATCAAAATCACAGGAATTTCATGTTTGAAATGTGCCTTCTCTTTATCCATAAACACACCAAACTTTTGCCAAAAATACTGAAAAAGCCTCCGTCTTTTAGTTGATCCTTTTCAAACCTGGTGGAAGAACTTTTCCAGATTAGGGTTTTTTTTGGGTTTTTGTTTTTGTGTTGTTTTTTTTGTTTGTTTTTTTTTTTTTTTTTTATGTAGGCGTTTGTTTTACTGTGGTCCTGTGATCAGCCTGGTTTTCCCCTAATTTTCAAGTAATTAGTCCACAGTGCAGCTTTGGCTGCTTTTAGCGTACATATGGATAGTGATATTAAGGAAGTAATTAGTTGCTGTGTAGTTCATAGACGGGAGCCAGAATGTAGTAAATTTAATCTAGATGCACTCAGGAAGGTAACGTGGGTGAAACTAAAGAGACGTAAGGTACAAAAACAAACCTCCACTGGGGGCTGAAAAGGGCAAGAGCTCTTGGGTAGCCTCTGGGAGAACATTTCGAGCAAAGCCTCCACTTCCCTCCATCTCTGAACTGAGCTGAACTGATGTTCAAAAAAACCTTTGAAGGAGTTAAGATACTAAAGTTTGCAGGTCCCTGGGATACTAGGAATCACAACCACAAAGGGGTATGATAAAGAACCTGTTCTCTTTGTTTCCTATAAACAGAATTTTATGACCTCATCTTCTTCGTTAATAATTCTACAAATCTGCAAGTGCCAATTAACTTCCTGGTCCCTCATGGTCTATCTGGTTAGCATGTACAGGCCAGTTTAAATCCATTGCCTCCATGTAGTATTTAAGCTTTGAAGACTGTGGATTCTATTTCAGAGCTGAAGGAGTGCATCTGTGCCTGAAAGCTTGTTTTTTACAACTATGACGCTTAGTTTAATGAAGGTGTTGCCATTTCTCCCATTGCTGGGAGAGGTCCTTCCAGGGTTTAGGTAATCTGTCCTATCCTAAATTGAATCTGAGCAATACAAAAAGGGGGATTACCCCTCTCAGCTAACGTTAGAAAGAGCGTATGTGATGAGAAATGGCAGGTGTTTTAAAAGGTAAAGTTAGGTAAGATGAATCCTGGGCTAACCATGGGTAAAGCTGATTTTTGGCAAGTTACTTGTGTCTGGGTTCTTTTCTTGGCTGTTCTCCCACACTGGAGCTGCACTTCCCAGACACCATATCTAGGAGGCTTTGGGGAAAGATTCTGTGTGTGTAGTAGTACTAACAATATAGAAATGGTGCTTTTCTTTGTAAAAAAAAAAAAAAAAAAAAGTAGAGTTCTAGGGGTGTGGATGGTGCAGAGGAGTGAAGGTCTCCAGCACCACCCTGCCAGCAACCTAGGATGGGGCTGTTGCTCAGCCTAACTAAGGCAATTTGTAGGGCTGGGGGTTACAAAACCTGTTGTGTTAGGAGAACTCGCTGCCTGTGGGGCAGAGTTGTTGTTGCCATGCTGCAGAGCAGTACTTCAGTTTTTGTGGTGCCCGGCAGCTGGGATGTGACTGCCTTGCTCAGATACGGAGGCAATGTGTTGCTCTCCAGGCCTTTCTGTTAAGTCAGAAGTTGGATTAAGGCAGTGCTCCTTCCTAGGGATAGTCTTTTGAGGTCTGACAGGTTTAGCTGGTACTGAATTCTGTTGCCTGTCCTTGATGTTGTTATTACTACTCTCAGCAGCTTGTATGGACTCCTGAATGAAGTGGAAAAGCACAGGTACTTCAGCAATAAGCCCTGGCTCTAAAAACTTTTAACTGCGTGAGTTGACTTGCATGGGAGAGTGGTACTTACTTACTTAAATCAGAATACACATGTGCAAGTGAGATACCTTGATCACTTCTGTGTTCAGGCTCCTTTAGATGGGAGAAACAAAATAACTGCTATTGAGAGATTCTTAGGAGGCATCTGGGATGTTTTATCATTCACTTAATATCAGAAATACTTGTTTATGTAGATGTCAATCAAGTGAAACTGTCATGCACTGTAGTTGTACCCTGGAATTTGTGCATTGAAAAAATCTGATGAACATCTGCTGAAGAAATTGGTTAAGGAAACCTCATTTTCACAGCTTTTGGTATATGTGGCATACAAGTGTAGACACACCTGAGATGTTTGAACTGTCTGCTCAATTTATTATACATACCAATGTCTCCTTGATGAATTGCTGTGAGGTGATTTTGAAATGTGCCTTGAAATATGCCTTAAGTAATTAGTGCGTACCGAGTTAGAATAAGTGATTATATCTGAGGCAAACCAAGACACTTGATTAGTGATGAATGTGAATCACTATATGTGTGTTTGCCATGGACAAATAATACCGAGTTCATACTCTCAGCACATATGTGTTGATGCAGTTTTATTTCAGTTTGAAGATATCCCACTTATCTGCAGAGTCTGGCATTTATTCTTGGAATAAAACAGCAGCTCAATAGAATCCAGTTGCTCAACACACCTAGGTCACTTTATGATGTATTTAGATGGTGAGAGTTAGCCTCCACTGGAAATTACAAGTTCCATATCATTTTACTGCTTTATGTTGTGAAATTTTTTGTTGGTGTTGAAACTCTGGAAGAAGACTTCACTGAAAGTGGGTTTTGGCATAACAGCATATACTCGTTATGCAACGTGTTGGCTAAAATTAAAAGCTGGCTGACTATGAGTAGAAGATTATCTTGCAGAACCAGGAACCAGAAAGATGTCTCGATCCCTGCATAAATATAGTGAATGAAACTCATCTGATACTATAGGCGGTTCTAATATTGACAGTCAAAACCAAAAAAAAAAAAAAAAAAAAAAATATATATATTGAAAAAGAACCAGAATGTAATTATGGGAAGGTTTGGGAAGCCTAGCACAGTAGAAGGCAACAGAAGTTATGCAGGTTATCACAAACCAGAAGGTAGTGCCCTGGTGCAGGAATGCTGTATCTGAGCTTTCAGCATGGAGCCAAGGTTAGAAGAATGCCATAACAGAAGGTTTATTGAGTGTAGTAGGCTGTGCCTAGCAATACTAGCTGCTAGCAGATACTTCAGACTAGAACTGAAGTGCTGCAGGGGTAGTTGAATGTTGGGGAGATACATGTAGTGATTTGGTTGCTTTTCTAATACTTCAAGTGCATATCTCAAAAGGTTCAATGCCTTTCAACAAAGCATATTCTGACTGAGACAGAAGTTACGGGCTCGATGCAGAATCTGAGTTTGTGGCCTGTGTCAGGCAGGAGAGCTGACTGAGTAGTTATAACCACGGCTTTGAGTTTAAATACATTAATCTGGTCATATTTGTGAGGGTGTTAATGCTTTACTTTCAGGGATGTTCTTCCTGCTGATATCTGATTCCTAGCAGAGAACAGCGTGCTCTTATTGACATATATGCCTGTTGTTGCACCTCAGCTTTCTGTTGGGGTGTGTGTTTGCTTAAACACAGCTGAACTGTAGGTACAGGCAACATTAAAAGTCAGAATTCCTATCTTTACTGCCCAGATGACTCTCACAGTTTGTTTTATCCAAGAAATTGTATTCTGATATGTCTGTTTTTCTAGAGAAGAATTTGATCTAGATAAAATAATAGAATTGTGAAACATCTTGAAATACTCTTACTGGAGACAGCTTTTAGCAGATCTAGCATATCTAGCAGATGATGTATTTGATCTAGCATATCTAGCAGATGATGTATTTGAATTTGTGGTCTGCGTTAGTTAATTCACCCTGATTCATATTGACATAGTAGGGTGAACGGATGCGTGGGTTTTGGAGTATCAGATACATAGGTGTGTGTAGGGTTTTAATAGCATCACAGTTTTTATTTGTTTTTTACGTTAAGACCGTAATGAATATACACATCTCTGTTTTGGACAACTAGTATGACTTCTACCCATTGCCCTCTTCTCCTGTCTGTCTTAGGTGGGTGGCTTATGAGAATCCTGAGTTTACAGGGGAGCAGTATATACTGGCTAAAGGGCTATATCCCAGCATTGAGGCGTGGGGGGGGAAGAATTGCAAAATATCTTCAGTGCAGCCCATCATTATGGTAAGGAGTTCATTTTATACTTGTTTTGCAAGTTTCTCTGAGGTATTTGGAGTTGTGCTTTTTCTATCAAATTCAGTTTACTTACATTCTTTAAATGTTAGTTAACAGTAAACTTTTGTATATTTGTTATTTTATCACTTTTTAAAATATATTTTTTTCCTTTTTTTTCCCCTCCTAACTTTTGCAGGATATTGTTGGAAGTGAAAGGGGTAAAGTGAAGGTAAGATACTTCTCTAAGTACATGAAGCATACTGTGTAGTGTCTGCAACATCTATAAATAAAGGGCTTTTTGTCTAGTGTAAATCCCAGGTATTTGCACAGGTGGTTTACTGGTCAGACAAAGAGCAAGAACTGAAGGTGAAGGAAGGCTGCTTTCCAAACCTCTTAAGGCACGTGAAGGCCCAAGGAAGGGGGGATTTAATACACAGCTGCCCTCAGAACTATCTCAGGGCACAGGCAGTGTTTTGGTTCAGCAAGTGAGCTGTTTTGGGCTATCGGTGATTGTTTTGAGGAGCTGGAACCCTCAGCCCTCTATGCAGAGGTGCAGGTACCTGGAATCTGTTATTGAGGCGAGGGCTCTACAAATTAGATGTTGTTCATGGTACAGCTGTGACTTCATTCCTTTTGAACCGAATTATTTGGTTAACAGTTCTGCCAGTGATGGTTGCACTTCGAGAGAATCTTGTTCACTCACAAATACTGCTGAGTTGTGCTGAAAAGTTAATGTCATCTTTGTCAATAGCTAAGAGGAGGAAATGACAGGGAGAACTTGTCTGTTCAGTGAGTTAACATATTTTTAGGTTGTACTGTCTCCTGTGTGCAAGTACTAATACATAGTTTTGGCGGTGAGGATAATGGGTGGCTTTTTTCACCCTTTCATGATTCTGAACCTTTTCATGTTTCTCCCCATACCAAGCTACTTTTATTTTCATTTCAGTCAAAATGGTGAGTATGTCATAAACTAAAAAACAGGGAGAAAAGTCTTAGTTGCCTTGTTTTGCGTTCTTGGTTAGTGGTATGCCTCACTGGACTCTCCTGCATAGGGATAATGTATAAACTATGGGGAATAAAAATCACAAGGCTGCTTACTTTCAGCTATGTGCGTGAAAAATTATGTGCATCTGTATATTATGTGCCTTTTAAGACCTTATCCCAAGGAAACAAAGAAGTAATGGCTTGTAGTCAACAGACTGCATCCCTCGTCAGCATGTTCCTCTTTGGAGAACGCTGTACATGCCCACACTCGTATCTGCTAAGCGTGAATGAAGCTGGTAGGCATGTGATAATGTGAATGACTTCTGTGTGATCAGGGCTAATTATCCTCTAACCAAATTAGCAGGTTTGCTGCTTAGAAATTTTTTTTCTTTTTAACAAGGACAAAAGACTCTGGGTGACGTATCCTCTCCTATCCGCCGAGCAGAGAAAGAACAACTGACAGGACTGTAACTATAGCTGTAACAGACACGTAAAGCCCATTTACCCTGGGAAAATATACCATGCCTGTTGGCATGCTGTCTGAGTACTTTGCCAAGATTATGCACCATTTATGTTCTGAGAGACAGATAGTTTTCATGTAGTGGGAAGAATATGTATTTTGGAGATTTAATGGATTAATAATCTAAACCAAAACTGTTTACGGCGCTTTGCTAAAGTTATGCCTATTCGGGCAATTCTGTGGGAATTTAAAAATCTTCTCTAGCAAATAGTCCAAGGAGCATTTTGGTAGTGTGACTTTATTTTGTACGTTACTGAGTGATTTGCAGCCAGAAGTAATTTTTGGTATTGTTACCTTGCTGTCTTTAATGCGGATTGCAACACTGAAGAGGTAACGTAAAACATATGTAACGGAGAAAATCTGGGTGCTTTAAGTATGTGTGAATCTAATTAGAGAAGTAATGGTAGAGACATGTTACTGAAGGATGAAGAATGAATTGTTTTTAAATATGTTTATAACTTTTTAAAGGTCCAGTTATTTTCAGAGCCTGAATTCAAGGGTAACTGCCAAATATTTGAAAAAAACACGAGATGTATTGATTCGTTTGCTGTGAAGTCTTCAAAAATTTTAGATGGCAGGTAAGTTATACTGAATGAATATTGAAAAATCGCTGAAATGGTAAAAGCTTAAGAAAAGCAACCAGCTTTCTAGCACCTGAAGTGGTTTCACATATGAGGACTTACAGAGAACAGTGCTTTGCAGTTTACGTATCAGTCTTAAGCTTGTCAGGACAAAACTTTGTAAATAATGTTTCCATCAGTAGTTCTTGCTAAAAGCTGAGAAACATGAGCATTGATTTACTTCCACAGAATTTCTTAAGAAGCAATTTCTTTTCCTTCTTCCTGCAGCTGCATAGTGTATGACCAGGAAGAATTTACTGGTAACCAGTACGTGTTAGAAGAAGGAATCTATCCTGATCTGACAGCGATGGGTTGTTCACCCCAAACAGTTCTAAAATCTTTACGGATTATAAATATTGTAAGTAAATCTATTAAAGATAAGTGCACTGATGACCCTGACCTCCCCGTTTTTTGCAACAGTAAAAATGCTAGGGACACACAGACAACAGAGGAGTTGGGGTTTTTTTGGTGTGGTTTTTTTTTTGTTGGTTTTTTTTTTTTGTTGTTGTTGGTTTTTTTTTTTTGTCTATGCAGTAGCAGTTAAATGTCAAGTTTTTTTGACCTCTGTGCTGTTTTTGGAAAGGACAGAACACCACAGAAGCTGCTGCCTGAAATCACTGTTCTTAATAACAGCTTATAAAAGGACTCCTGTAAAGAGACTCAAGGATGTGTCAGATAAACCCTTTATTTCCCAGTAGGAAAGACCACTTAGAGCGGGTTGAGAAACATCAGTAGGACAGTGTGAAGAAATATCTGTACTGTGGACCTTGTTTTTTATCCATATTGATAAAGCAGATTTAAGGAAGCAACTTTGCATGAGATACATGTAATTATAAAACACTATTGCTATCATCAGGGAAATGCAATTTGAGTTAATCACAAAATAATGCACCCTTCTAGATAAAGTAAAGCAACACCCAATGCCGTTTGGCAAACTCAGACAGTGGTGATGTTATGTGTGGTGGACACAAACTAAACAACATTTACATGTTTTGTAACTCATCAGTGGTGAGGAGCACATTTGCTCGAGCCTATAACCAATCATTATGATGGATCACTTACGGAATCTGCAAGTATCTTTTAAGACCAAGGTAATTACTAGCAAAATGTGGTCAAGAATCCAGGAACTTACGGTAATATGAAGAGATGCTACTAATTTTAAAAAAGGAGGAGTATGCTACTGACTCTCTTCTTTGAATTTGGCAACTTTATTGCACTCCATTGTAATTTTGGTGACCCATCAGTGATGTAGCAGAAGAACTAATATGTGTCATCCTCTTTCATGTCTCTAGAGCATTTTGATGTACAGTGTAAACAAACATCTGCAGCAAGCATGTCTGCCTTCTGAACTCTTTGGCTGTCCAGTAGACAGATCCTATTAAAAAACGTAGAAGTGTTTCTAGCCAAGCTTGGTGGGTGATCACCATGAATTAAAATGGGCTCTTTTGTACATGTCAGTATCGAGTTCTTGGGTTTAAAACAAGCGTTTCAAGCTGGAAGGGCCAGCTTACTTTTGGAACATTTACTATGTGTGACAGACACTGTTGTGTTAAAATGGCCAAATGCCAGTTCTGTGCCTCTAAGTTCTTACAGCTTCTGAAACTCGTTCTGGCCCTACAGTTTATCACGCTTCTGACAGTAGCATGAAGCTGCATCTGTCTGCAAGTCACGTGCTGCTGCTTCCTCCTTCAGAGGCTTCATACCTGCAGAGAAGAAGAAAATGGCTTGTTTTGCTCAGCAGTGTATTAGCAAACCAGAATACAGAGAATAAGAAGCTAGATGGAAATTATCATAATATACTGTTCATTTTTCATAATTTTACAAAGCCTTGAACCTTATTATTCTACATACTAGTTTCACCTTTCAGATTTATTTTGGGACTGTATTTGGCAGTGCCAATCTTAATTCCTCCCCACATCTGCTATTCCCGTAACTTTCCTTGTGATTTTTCTGTGACATTTCTATACAAGAAACACCTTTGCTATTTGAATCTGTCATGTTCCTATACTTATCTAGTTTAACTCCCCTGTGCAGGGATACATTTCTAAGGGACCATAAAAAAAAAAAAGAAAATGAAAGGGATATTTGATAAACTTGGAAGTGAAAGTTAAAAGGGCTTTTGTTCATAAGCTCAAGATTTTTGTTTTTTCATACCCCTGTATCTTTGCTTGATAGTGCTTGATTTGCATGCTCCACATGGTTGTGCTGCAGATAGAAAACGGCATTTTTCCTTCTTGATTTTGCTACCTGTTCTTTTTCCTGAACATACTATAAAAACAACTGTGAATGTGATTTATGCTTGAACAGTCATGCTGAAAATACTTTTTAATGAGCAACTCTGCGAAATAACTAAATGTAGATATATGGGAGCATCAACTTCATACCGTGCAGTACATGGGAAGTACTGAAATAAAACTTTTGAGCTGATTTTGTACTTCTCTCTGTGAGGAGCATTTTGTATAACAGTGTTGCTGCTGAATCTGAAAAATGCCCGGAGTGGAAAGTGTGGCAGAAAATGGGAGGATTTCCTTTTCTGCCGGCGTGTTTTCTTTCTAAGTAGATTATTTCTGAAGCATTACCTATGGCTCAAGGGCTGCTGTCTGACCACTTGCATGTCTCGGAGTGCGGGCCTAAAAAGGCAGAGATGTCGGAGACACCATCGTGGTGCGACCGTTCCTGTTGGGCTCTTTACTTATGATGACACCTAGCAGTCTAACTGGTGTTAACCTTTCATGGTGGGGATGAGTGTACTCTGATTTTGGAGTAAGCTGAAAGGCCTCTGCTGGCATTTTCTGCAGCCTAGCAGCGTGTGTGCAATCAGAAAACGTAGCTCAGCTGCTGTGCGATAACCTGGACTGCTGCAGAGATAATGGTGGCACTCATACAACCTTGTCATCCGGGCCCTTAAACGTCTAAAGGAAGATTAAAGAGGAATTTAAGCACTGTCTAGAAAGTGGTAGACGTGAGGTCTTGCCTAACAAAGTCACACGGAAGCATGGATATCTATTGCCATGTGTCTACAGAGCCACCTCTGCCTTGAAGGGCCTGTTTCCATGCCCAAGGCCAGGTGAGAGTCTGTCGAGACTTTGCGTCATGTCAGGCGTTCCCGAACCAGTTGATGTATTTCAAGCACGCCGAATACATGCCAGCAGGAAGGAGCTCTTCTGGCTATGGTGCTGGTTTTATGCAGTCGTTGCTGGAAGACTTGCAAGACAGGGAGCGACAGGGTCATTTCCATCTAGGAGCAGAAACTGTAACACCAGGACACTCGGGCCTAACTGATTCTCCCCAGAGGAATTTCAAACCCTCACCTCCCAGCTTCCAGGGGAAGGCCTTAATTCTGAGAGGTGATTTCCAGTCCACAACAGATCTCTTGCCGCATGGAAGAGTCCAGTGTTTGTTATCCAGAAGACATTTAAAATTGATTTAGTGATGCAGGAAGCTTCATGTGGGCAGAATGCCTTTGACACCAGGAGCGTTTTGACAGAGAGGGAGAAGAATCATCTCCCCGCAGCAGTTTAGAGGATTCAGATGTTACAGATTTTGCTTGAGTCATTAATTCCACCTCAGAAGTATGAATCTTGAAGCTTTTGTCTAGTCAGAGATTGATGTTGCCATAACCTGCTGTAAGAGTTAAAAAAGAGAGCAGTAGTGCTAACAAGGCTGTCATCATCTGAAGCTGTAGAAATCAATGTTATCTTCTGTGTGTTCAGGTCTGAAGATGAAAATTCCTACAATGAGTGGGGTTAGTGCAGTGGAAGAGGGATATGGCATTAATTAAAATGTATTTTAAAACATACTTAAGAAGTTACGCAGGAATCTACCACAGAGACATGTGTGTGCCTCAAGATAAGGAAATTTTATGTTCCATACAAGATGATCCCTTGTGTGTTTTGTATAAGGGCTCTTTATTACTTTAAAAATTTCTTTTAAGTAACCTTTTGCAGAGCAAAAACATTATTCAGGATCTCTGATCTTAAACAATCAAGAAGAAACCTCTGAGATAAAAGGGCTGTGTGGAGTAATGATGTTCACAGTCCCCATCTGGAGTTTTAACATCTTATAAAAGTGCTCATCTTTCTTCCGCAGGAGCTGTCTGAGCCATGCATAGCTCTCTTTGAAAAGGTGGGTTTCCAAGGAAAGAAAATCGAATTCAGTACAGAAATCTTAAATCTTCAGTTCCTGGGATACAGTCCTCGAATAGCTTCAGTTCAAATCCTTGGCGGCATGTAAGTTAAAATCACTTTTTGATTCTTTAGAATGATGTACTTACTCAACATAAAAAATTACAGGTGTTAAAAACCAAAGAGTATAAAATCAGAATATCATGTGTGCAGTGCATCAATGCAGTTTCTTCTTACAGGACCTTGTCACATCCTGTTTCAACAACGTTATCACTGACTGATGCCTTGTGCTAGAAGTTGAAGTGAATAAAGTTCACAAGGAAACTCTTATGCTGTATTATAAAAGCCAGCTTGCATAGCATCTTTAAAAGCAACTTCAGTGCTCTCGGTTTAGGTCTCAATCATTAAAAAAAATAATTCTGTTTGTGATCTGTTATCTTGTGTCATAAGTTCAAAATATTTTAATAAGTCTTCATGTTCATTCTTTTACATATATGTTATGGACACAGTGGTACAATCGGATAACGATCTGGTCCCTTCTGGCATTAGTAATAATTCCTTTTACTTCAGGAATTGGGTCAGACCCTTGGTTGTAAATCTAACAGTTAAATTTTGTTAGTTATTTTTAAGCTGTTCTGTTTTCTAAATTTACTTCTGAAGATCGTGTAGAAAAATAGTCAGTGATGAAGTTTAAAAACCTGTCTGAAAGCATTTGGAAAACTACTGTGCTATCTTCTTCCAGTGTTCCAGCAGATCTGTTAAATTTCTCTTTTTGTGCTTTTCCTGTTGTTAACTTATACTTGGGGCAAGTATCTTGGAGGTGGATGTTCAGTTTTTTCCTAACTTGAAGATTGTGACTTACTTTTTTAACGATAGATCCATGTTACTGTTGCTTTGCATTTGAATGCCTTCCTTTGAAGAGGTGAATTTCCAAGGTGTGTGCTAGAGAGATGATGTTGGATAGCTTAAGACTGCCCTCAAGTGGATAGCTAATACCAGGTCTGTAGAGCAAACCATTTTCCCCATCCGGATAAGCTGGTCAAAGGGTTTCCTTAGCACACTGAACTGAAGTTTGAAACATAAAGGTCATAGGAAAAGGTACATGCTCTGTATTCTGAAGTCCCCCGAGACTTCGGTATCTTTTGCCATAACCACGATATAGTTGGTTCTCACTTTCCATAACATGAAATAACATGAATTCAAACATAAGGTTACTTCTTTCCCGAGAGCGTAGTTACCATGTTTCCAGGTAACGGAGTTGTGAATTGTGTGTGTTTCCTATCCAGTGAATATATATGTATTTTCTGGTTGATCACTAGAAGCATATAGAGTATGATACAAAAATTCTGATTTCATTATAGCAGTGTCAGCTGCTGAAATGGGTCAAAATACAAGTTTCAGAATGTCCTTGCCCCTACTGCCTTCCTTATTGAAGGGGTTTTCGTCTTCTTTTCCCTTGCTAAAAGACATCTATCTGTTTATAATTCTTTTAATTTCATACCTGGGGATACTTGTGTATTAAGCTGTGAAAAAGCACCAAATGAAGGTGAATGGGCTGCTTCTGGATATAGACGTCTACTGACAAATCAGTCAGAGGAAAGGAGGTAACAGGCAAATGTGTGTATTAAGTGTTTGTGTGCTCAAAAAAACTATGGCTATTGGACAGGCCCAGCAAAACAGTGTGAGAAAACTCAAAAAATTGCACTGTTTTGCAGCCTATTTTAAAGTCTAGTTGTAATAATTCACTTAAGAATTCACTAAAGAAGCAGAAGTCAGGTTCTGACAGGTTGCTCTCAATGTGATTGTACGTGTGGTTGGATGTGTGGTAGGGAATGCTAAACAAAATTCTTTTTTTTTTTTCCTTTTCCTTCCCCTCCCCCTTTAGGTATTTGGAAAGAAGAAAGATGCTCTGAAATAAAAGCTCTATCAAAATACCCTAGAGAGCTTTATCCTGTTGCAGTTCCAGTATTTGCTTGTTGCAGTCTGCATCCCTAGTAGTTCTTTCCCATGTGGGTCAGCTCTGTCCAAATTAAGATACGCACAGAACTACTGGTTCTCCACATGCAACAATCTAACATATATAGCGCATGTAGCATATACATACATGCTCCTTGAGGAGTCACAGCACCTTCTGAAAAGAGATGATATTTAAAAGTTGAGTTCTCCCTTTAAGGCAAGAAAACGCTTTGTTGCATTCATCTTGTAAATTTTAAATAATGAGACTTTAAAAGGTGAACTCCGGCGTGCTCATCTTAATGCGGTTGATCTAAGTCAGGGTATGCTTTTATTATTTTTGAAGACGTGTTAAAAAGAAGGTCACTGGCTTTCCAAAGCTAAATGCTACTACTCTGTGGGACAGATTTCTGTTAAACCCATTTATTAATTCCAAAGCAGGATTTGGCAGTAAAAGCATTCTTTTTTTTCTTTTTTTCTCCTAGATGGATAATTTATGAGCATAGTAATTACAGGGGGCGTCAGATGTTGTTAGCACCGAATGACATTCCAGATTGGTATAAAGTGAGTGGTTACTGTCAGATAGGCTCTCTGAGACCTTTACTGCAGGTGAGTAGGCTCTGACGCGAGATCATCAAGTACTAATTTATATTTTGTAATGGGGCTGGGGGAATATTATATATCCGAAAGCCGTGTTACGTCTTGATGCATGTCACAAGCCTCAGCAATGGCCATTGTGTAAAGAAATCGCTCTACAGTTTCACTTGTAGTAAAAGCTCTTTAAGTGTGCTACATGGCTTTGCAGTTCTATGGCTTAAACTGCCATTAAGCATACTGTAAACCAAAGCATAGAAGACAGCATATAAGGACTGGCTAAATTACTTTAACAAATAATGGCTATAACTACTACATATAAATTATTTTAAGTTGGTTTATAATTAGCACCCAGACTGGTGACTGGTCTGTACTATCGGCGTTATTTTGGGAACAACAAGAAAATGGGTCATCAAAATATTGGATATTTCAATTAGTAGTGATTTGGTGTTGATTTAGGGGGGAAGGTCCTTCCCTGCTTATTACTTGGCAGAACAATTTGCAAATCTAATGCAAAACTTATTCTCATGCTGTCCTTTTCGTTTTGTTCTCTAAATAAGGACCATATGATTTGGTCCAGTGCTGCAGCAGTTCCTGTGAGCTTTTTTTTTTTTTTTTTTTTTTTTCTTGAAGGTCTTGCTGAGCCATAATTTTTAGAGGAAACAACTTTTTCTAATTCACAGATTATTGTACCTGTAACCAAATGCATTTGCTTGCTGTCATAGCATTGTCTTTGTATAGCCTTAAGCAGAGTTGGAAATAATGTATTCTGACTGCCCTGGCTGAGAGCTTGTCCAGACAGAAATGTTCATGTCTAACAAGCTGCAGCGTGAATGTGCAGTGTAATACTTGCTGCCACTAAAATAAGCAGCACTGCACAAGTGCACCCTTAACGAAAGCAAAGAGCATCTATACAAGAAGTTAGCAGAGAGAAGTTAATGCTGCTCTGAATTAAAAATTCTTAGCTTTCCACTGTGTGCTGATCTCAGTGCATAGGAAAGCCTAAAACTCTCCATGCAGAATGGCAAGATCTCAAAGCTTGGCTTGACCTAGACATTTATGGTCTTTGGAATTAAATTCTAAAATAGGAAAATTAAGCTTTTCAAAAGGGAGAGGGAGGCACGGGGCTCAGCACTGAACAGTAATTGCTCTGAAGCTAACCGCAGCGGGATGTGCTCTGCGCCCCGACTGTGGTTAAAGAGCTCTGTCGTTTTCTGCAGAAACGTGTGTACTTCAGGCTGCGAAACAAGGAAACAGGAAAATTCATGTCAGCTGATGGAAACTTGGACAACCTGAATCTTCTCCGAATACAGGTTGCAGAAGATACAGACTCAGATGATCAAATCTGGGTTTATCAGGATGGATTCATAAGGTGCCGGGTGAGGTTCAAGTTCAATGTGAAATTTTTCTTTTCCTCTCCTGTTGTAGGGCTTTCTGAATTAAATTCCTCCTGTATCATCTTGATTTATTTTAAAGGCTTATTCTGTTTCAGCTGTAATATAATCTTTTTTGTAGGTGTTTGGTTTTGTTTTTTTGTTTTTGGTTTTTTTTTTTATTTGAACTCTGGATTTTTCAGGTGATATAAACTAGGTGTATGATACCTTTTTTTTCTGATGTAATTTTGAGAGACTTTAGTTCCGATTTACTTTTCCCTTAAAGAATAGTAGCCTTGTAAGTACAGCCAACACCAGAAGATCATTGTCTTGCTCTTCATGAGCCCCTTCCACATTCACGCCCCCTTTCTCCACAGTAAAAATATCACAAAAGTATCAAAGCAGGGGGAGACCTTTTAAAATTAAGACCCTTCCTGATATTTTGAACTATGCATACCTTGTGGTAGGTCAGTTAGTGTGATGTAGATTATATCCTCTTCTGCATTCAGGCAAGCTTTAAGATAAAATCCTATTCTGTTTTGTTTTTTTTTGGGGGGGGGGGGTGGTGTTGTTGATCTGTTTTTTGTTGGGGTTTTGTTGTTGTTGGGTTGTTTTTTGTTTTTTTCCCCTGGTTATCTCTGTATTTGTCAAATTCATCCCTTTTCCATTCCTCTGTACAAGTTTCCAAATGAAGTCCTGCTTTTCTCACAGTCCCTAAAACTAATCATGTGTGAATTGTCATTGAGGTGAGCAGAGGTATGCACAGTTCATAATGTTTAAGCATGAACAGACTTAGGTAGGGATGTCAGCCAAAGAAAATTAAGTTACTTTAATACTGTTCAACAGCTTGACTGTAAAGAATCATCTGAACTTTTTCTATAGGATTGTATAACTTCAAAGGAACCACTTATAACTATGTCATCTATGCTGGAGGGAAGAATCTTACTGTTAATAAGCTAAAGCATTGTTTGGACATGTTTACAGGACACATGCAGTAGTAAAAGGGATTTATGCAGACAGCAAAATCGTGCAAAGTAAGCTAAAAGCTTTAATATCGCATACAAAAGACCTCTCTCTTGACAGTGCCTCTCAAACATTTCACTGAAGGTGTTTGTATTGAGACAGTGTGGTACGGTACAGCTTTGGATAAGTGCTCTTGGGTTTTGTGCCCATCTCTGTCTCGTGAAGTAGTTTTTCTGTGCACAGAAAAGACACAGCTTGTGCTGTACAGCAGTCGGGTGCGGAGTGCAGGCTGGCAACACTGATCTTAAATGACTGAACCCTTCCAGAGCTCTGCCATCTTTCTAATGAATGGCAGTACATGTATTTTGCAGCAAAAAAAAAAATTTTCGCTACATTTTAAAAAGAAAATTAAGCTTGTGGGTGGGTAGGTACGTGCACGTTGGCAGACGTAGGTGACTGGAAGAACTTGTGCCTTTCTTCCTGTAAGCTTAGGTCATCTCACTGACTGCGTCACAGTACCTTGAGATGTGCCTGAGGCTTTCAAGGAAGAGCTGGTTTAGGTAGGTGGGATAACCAATAAGCAGGATATGAAAGTAATTCTGCTCATTTTGTCAGAAACAGATGTAAATAGCAGATACAAAGTCAGGTCTTCTCGCTCTTTATGAGTTTTCTGGAGATGGGTGAAGTAGTGGCCTAGTGGACCTGATATGTAAGCTCTGAGTCTTCCAGGTCCCAGCAGAGAACATTTTAGATACAGATGAGAATTTCAGAACTGCAATTGAGTTATCATCACCTAGAATTGAAGTAAGAAGTACTACTTTTTAAAAACTGTATCTTTAATAATTTAGGGCGGTGTCAACAATGGCATATGGTTGGTCATTTAATTTGCCTCTGAAGACCATTCAGAAGTTACAGGGCATCGTATGGTGATCTACTGAAAATCACTGTTCACAAAGAATAACTAACTGTAATTTACTATTAATACAACCATAATGTTTGTCTCAAGTAAGCTTGATTTTTGCCCGTTCTTTTTTTTTAACCCTAAAGACATTTGAAGAGTTTTGAAATCAAGTAACTCAAATGACTAGGAAAAGAACATAGAGCAAAGAAGAGAATATCATTTGTGATACACTGTGAAATTCATACACTCAATACTGTGCAGTTACGTCCTTTATCCCAAAAGGTTATAGCAGAACTAGTAATTACTAAGGAACAAAAAAACGATGTGCAGAGGAGATGGAGGCCTTCCATGTAAGGAAGAGATGACACGGCTAAGACTTTTTTAGCCTGCAAAGGGGACGGTTTGAGGGATGATACGATTGAAGTCTTTGCAAACACACTGTGGACAAGAGATCCCTTAAAATACGGGAGGGGAAGGAGGGGCGAGGAGAGCATCAAATAAAGCTAGTAGTTGTCTATCAAATTATTTATTATTTTTTTTTTTAATAGCAGTAGTAAAGATTTCAAACTCCTTGCCGCAGAAGGGTTATGATAAAGAAAGGTGTTTTGTGTAAAAGGGTTACATGGTTCTCGGTGGGTAGTGACTAACAAATTCATATATGGGACAGAAACCATCCGAGTATTAAAGGTACTGGCGCTGCATGGAAAAGTCTCTGGGCTGGCAACGGCTGTAGGCTGGGAAAGATTACCAGGAACGGACTGCGTGCCAGGGCAAAGTGAACGTGATCCTCCACAGCATCTGTTCCTGGCCACTGACAGAGGCAGGTGCTGCTGCTTGCGCCTTCTGATCTGACACAACATGGTTATTTTAACGTTCGTATGGAGCGGAGAGCGCCAGCAGAAAGAGGAACAAAAGCCAAATAAGTAGTCTTGAGTTTGGGGCAAAAATACATTCCTTTAGGGAAAGCAGTTCCTGCATTCTCTTCTCACCTGCTGACATCTATCTGATTAAAAAAAAAAAACAGTGGATACTCGAAGTAAGGCTGTTTTGAATAATTGCTGTTGACTTTCTGATGATACAGATGGCAGAGGATTGCTGCTTGACAATTGTTGGAAATCTTATAACTCCTGGCTCTAAACTTGGCCTGTCGTTTGAGCGGAATGAAGACAAACAATATTGGCATATTAGTCCCGATGGCAGGATTTATAGCAAGATGAAACCCAAGCTGGTTTTAGATATCAAAGGTAAGCAAATGTCTTATCTCATTACATTGTGTCTTAGTAACACGATACTTACAGTGGGATAGGCACTAAACGTGGCTATAAATGAAGGATGGTGTTGCACTTTCTTTAATCTAGAACCAAAAAATACCCGATTAGCTAGTCTGACCTCCTGAATTATACAGGCCCTAGGACTGCATTTCATTTTTCCTATACGGAGCTTAGTAACTCCCACTACTTGCTTATCTTGTATTCCCAGCGTCCACTCACTGTAGATATCTGCAGTTAATTTTAGGTGGCACTGGGTGATGTGAAGATAATTATTTAAAATGCTGAAGCAAGAAAAATCTAGCTTCTCATTACCTTTAATTTGTATAAAGCAAATTTTCGTATATAGTAGTTGTAGCTGCAATAGCCAAAGGACGTTAGGGAAGCAAAGGCAGGCTTCTATGCTGATGTGATTAGATGCAAAAAGTTTTTTCATTTGTTCGTTAATGGCTCCACCTTTATCGCAAACCTGAGATTCTGCCTGAGCAGCCTAAGGTCTGTGGCGCACTTGATGCGTGTTTTACAGCCGCTTTTGTCCCAGCGATTTGGTTCATGCAGATACAGTTTCTGACCTTGGTTTTCAGAGTTTCACAGAAGGTCTGGAAAAGCAACAAATGGAACGATTAGCAGAATTAGCGTGATCAGATGTTCTGACATAACTCCGTGGTTTTGGGCGGGGGGAGCAATCATGTTCCATGCCTGCTGATTTTTTTAGATGTTTTCAAATTAATTTTGCATCGATGCTGAGATGTTAATTACAGCAATTGCAAAAAATTAAAATTAATACCAGGGTCAACAGACAGCACTTTAGAACTAAAAGGGACAAGGATTATCAGAGCTGTGAGAAAAGGGTTATCTGACGTCTGACCATCGTGCAACACTGGCAGGAATAATCACAAATTCTCTTTACTGCCATGAAAAGCTAGTGATGATTAATTACAAACTGATTAATTACAAACTGATCAAAAAGACTCCGGTTCAAGGGAGAGTCTTTGGTCGTAATGACTCGGCATACCTTTTTCTGAAGTCAGTTCAGAGTTTCACCAAACAAGCAGAAATGCCGCCTTGCTTTCAGTTAATGGTGTTAAAAGCAATTTGCGTATTCTGCATTCATAATTCACAGTGGATAGGTCTGGTGCTGAAAGCACAGATACGTTCTTAGTTTTAAAAAAAGTAAATCTGTACGGTGAATATGAAAGAGTAGGTGCCTTTTTAGCTTTTATGTGAGAAAGCCTAGTAGGATCATGACCTGTTACTGACAATTCTGCTGATCCATCCCTGATCGCAAAGGGAGCATTAACGAATTCTTCAGCAAATGACCGCAGCGTCCAGCTGTGCGGTTACCAGTGCCGCCCCGCGGATGTACCGGCATAGCACAAAGCTTTCTCCAGGGCAGTGCGCTAGCAAAGTAAATCATCTCTTGTCCCACTGACAAAAATCCCTTCTTTTCCCATGATGACGTGTTTGCTTTCTACCAGACACCACTTAAAAAAAACATTTTTGGCGCTCACGGCGATAGCTGAGCTATGAGCTGATGCTGTTTTTTGAAGCTGCTGGTTTGGTGTTTTGTTTGGGTTTTTTCCTGTGGGAGTGTTTGATCTGCTATTGCTTTCTTTTTCCCCCTCTTTCTGAAGAACTTTGCGAGTGTTTCTGCTGTGCATCTCTCCTGCTTTTTAGCAATTGCCTGGTGATGGCGAGGAGAGAAATCACGTTGGTCTTGGAGACCTTTCCTGATTTGTGTCGGTGGCACCAGAAAGCCCCCTGCAAATACCCAAAGTGGAGAGCAGCTGAGGTGCTTGAGATGGCATTTCCTTAGTACAGAAGAGCTGCTCTTCAGTGTGCCTGCCCATGCAGAACTTGAGCTGCCTAGAATATTTCTTTCCGAGATATATTTCTTTTCCACCTGCTACTGCCGGCGTGCTGCGCCGCGCGGGTCCTGCGCTCCTGCAGGATGTACTAGAGCTGAGGAGGGGTGGGAAAAAAAGAAAAAAAAAAAAAAAAAAGTCACTTCTGACTTTCACTCTAGTCAAATGTTTCTTTGCTTCCGAGTTTCTGAAGTCAGAAGACCCGTGGTGCTCTTCCATGGGAACATGTTTGGCATTGCATGACGTGAGTAAATGAAGCCCCCTGTCAGAAAAGGGTGCATTTGCATGCGGGTATGGTCAGCTGCCGGTGGAACCAGCTGAACGTGGGGCCATAGGCCGTGTACGGGGCCTCGACTCGCGGCGCAGCTGGTCACAATACCAGATTAGGACGGCGGAGTAACTGAGTACCAGACCTTGTCCCCGGGATGGTCGTGCTCCCGCTGTCTGTCAGCAGCAGGACTTACTCCATCGCGTCAGCGTCGTCTTTAGAGCGAACTGACAGCCAGCAGCTGCTGAGGGGAGACTGAACAGCCCCGTTTTGGGAAGTGACAGTCTTAGAGATGCGACACCTGACTGTATTTGCAGCGTTTCACTCCTTTCCCATCGGCGCTGAAAAAGCCAAGGTACCGACTTGCTGAAGGGGTAGAGAGGAGCCAGCAGGCCCCCTTGTTTCTGAATTAATTCTAAAAGCAGGCAGCGATGAAAACGAGTTTCTTTCCAGTGCCTCGGGGAGAAGAGAGACCGTCTGTGCCAGCGCTCAACTAGAGTTGCCCTGCAACCTGGAGTACACGTCTCTTATTTCAAAGATAACCCACGCTCTGCAATTTTTCTTCACAGGGGGCGCACAATATGATCGTGACCATGTTGTCGTCAACACAGTCAACGAAGAAAAGTTAACGCAGTGTTGGGAACCGCTGGTTGTATAAACCCAAAGAAGCGAAGAGCTGACTTTGGACTGTTCCAGACACTAGAATTGGCACTGCCGTCTCGGAAGGGCACAGGATCAACGATGAGAGTCTTGTCTTTCCTTTGCAATTTTCAAAAGAACAAGCAACAGAATGATTTCACCTCTCTAAGATTATTATCCACATAAAAGTTTGAGTATCTCTCAACCTTTTTTTTTTTTTTTTTTTTTTTTAAAACCATCACAACTCAATGTGAGCTAGAGAGTGGTAGTATGCCTTAGGCTAGAGTGGAAGAACTAAAGGCGAGAGAGACCCCATGGAGTTACCGTCGTGTCACTGAGTAGTTAATCCCAAACAGCCAATGGGCATAATTTTAAATTATTTTTAAAAGATTTTTTTTTTTTCTTTTTAACTGAGAGAAAGGCTACAAGATAATTAAAGCTTCTTTTATAAAGACAGGAGTGCAGTGTGTATGTGGGTATAGCAACTTGAACCTACAGGCTGTAGTACAGAGAAAGACTTACTACTGGAAATTAATATATTTGTTTCACTGGAGCAAACTTAGATTCACTGAAAGTTTAAAGACTGCTAGCACACAGCACATCCAGAGATTTTTTTTTTAACATGTGGCTTCAACTATAGTTAGTATGCTAATACAGTAAGTCCTAAATTAAGAAGAAAAAATCTAGATTTTCTCACGTAGAGATGATGTAAATTAGTAGATGTTTGTTAGAAAAAGAGAGGGCTGGCAAAAGGATGCATCGGAATGTGAAGAACTTGCCCGTTTTCTAGGCTGCCTAACTGTTTGAGTTACGGGTATTTTACTGCTTTGCCAAGTCAAATTTTTACCTTTTTAAACCAGTTCCAGTGAACGCAGTCTCCCTGACCTCCAAAATCCTACCGAGAACGAGAATTCTTAGGGGGAGGATCACCAAAGCTGACGGCAGCAGCCGTTTCTCAGCCACCGCCTGTTGACGTTACGGTGGGGTGGGTGGGGGACACCAGACTCCCAGGTTTTTCCCCGAAACGCACCCAGGCGCGAGCACCGACCGTGCCCGTTGAAAGTAGGAAGCGTTGCTGGTTTAGTAAAGAGCTCGTGGCACCCGAGGGAGAACGTGAGGACTGCAGGAGGTTCTTCTGTGGCCCTGCTCTTAACCCGGGTTTGTTAGTTTTCCTTAACCACGCTGGCAAAAAGGTAAAATACAAAGTCTTGTACTGTGCTGCTGTGTTTTGTTCTGGTTTCGACCAGCGTTATTACAAGCTGCTCCTAGGAGCATCCAGGCCTTTGTCTTGCGTAGTAAATCTGTTTAATGTTTTCATCGCTCTTGTACTGCCTCAAAGGATACCGGTGCTTTTAGCCTTGCCACCCTAGAGGAAGTGCCTTACTAATTAATTCTCCTCCTTTTGTACAGACGTACTGAAGTTTTGTCGCTCTGAAACGTGCTGCTTTTAGTTCTTCATAGAAAACGTGTTGCTGTTGGTTCCGAACAGTGGTACTTTGTCATACCGATGTGCTCTTGCTATATATAATATAGCATTTTTCAAATAAATTTAAGTTAGGTGACTTTTTATTGAAATTAAAGGTAGAAAGCTGACGTTTTATGGTTAGTTTTGCTTCTGCCCTGTGCCCTTTCCTGCCCGTAATTCCACTCCAAGGGCTAGCTGATGGGGAGCGAGGAAGTGCTGTGGAGTAGCCACAGGCTCCCAGAAGTGGGCGCTCCTCCTCTCCAAGCCTCGCGTTCAGTGCGTTTGCACGTGGGGCCACAGTTCACGTGGCTGCTGGTTCCGTCCCCGGGTGGAAGTGCCGCGGGGAATGGGTTTGCCATCGCGGTAGCTGCGCAGCTCTCGATTCAGAGGTTACAACTTGCCTTTGATCCACCTGCATAATTGCAAGGGAAGTCGCTCTGTAGCCCACCTCTGGCAAAAGCCTAAGTTTAACCGCAGACTGACAGACACAAAGCCCCTAAAGCACTTCACACACACACACACACACCCCCCCCCGGCACTGACAGGGGACATGGCAGCAACAGGCTCTCTCGATTGCGGCCAAGATCATGTCTAGCCTACCTGCAGAAACACTGTAGTCAGCCGAACGTGTGCCAGGAGTTAGACAATCAGAGTAATTCTCAGTTACGGATTGATTTTTGTTCCATGCTTCTACTCAGCTTAGTTACCCCGTGAGAGATTTGCCCTATGAAGATTAGGAGTACCAGCCTTGAGACAGCAATCCGACCACCTAATACAAGAGAAGTTTCCGGGTTCTGAGAATGAACTAGAATGAGTAATAATACATATTAATAAAGGTGGTATATATTAATATTAGGAAAGGCAAAGGAAAAAAGGCCAGCAGAAGTTTCATAGGGACAACTGGATAAAAGAGCGTGCCTCACCCCTCCAGGACCTAGCTAAAACACCAGAAAAGAAAAGATCCAAGATCTACAAACTGCAAACGCTGCCAGCTGTTCCTCCTGTCCCAAGAGTGAGGGGTGTTCTACAAAAGTCACCCCAACGTGGTTGCCATGTAGAAATACCTAAGGGATGTCAGTGTTTCTTCTCTGCGTGTTAACAGGCAGAGCGTGAAGGAATCAGAGGCTTTTCTGAAAGGAGACTTTTTCAAAAAATGACGCATCACCTGTGGGCTTTTAAAGAAACAGCTGCTATGTACCGATTCAGGTTCAAGTGTAATTTACCAGTAAAGGACTGACTGTGGGCAAAATAATGCGTAGATGCTTTATTTTTTACTCATTACATTGATCACTGTTTTTCCACGGGCGTGTCCTCCTTCCAATTTCAGAAAGGCCTTTGGAACTTCAGAAAAAGTGAAGACTTCATCAATAACTGGTTCAATCTACAGAATAAAGAAAAAGCGTCACTCTATTAGGAACAAAATAATGTCTATCACCTTCACAGTTTAAACCTGTATGAAGAAAGGGGGGAGGCTTTCTAGTATTTAGGGCAGAAGTTGCCAAATTATGTAGTCACTAGCTTTTAACTTTTTTCAGGGACCCCTCTGCACCTAGGAGGCTTTCTGCTGCTCTTTGCCCAGGTTTTGAAACATCTACTAGCAGAGTTTGGAGCCGTCACCTGGGACTCTTACCAATAAAGTCACCATGCAAGGCTCTAACTTCTACGTCCCTTTAAAAGCTGACACTGTGGTTCCACTTTTTGCTGTCCCCGGTGGTAGACTAAGGAAAAGAACTTTTTTTTTTTCTTTTTTTTTTTTTTTCCTTTGCTTCTCTACTGTTTTTCTTGTTAAAACCAAGGATTTTCCAAAGGTCAGATGTTTTAAAGATACCTGTGAATCTAGTGCCTGTGTGCATCAGTACATGCCTCAGCACCCTGAAAAGACTTGGCCGCAAGCGAAGTACAAAATGTCCACGAGCTGAATCACTTAGATACACTTGAAAACTCAGCCACTGTGTATTCCAACAGGCATGCATCATTAAGCCCAGCTTGCAGTAGACCGCTATGTTGGCATTAATCTTGCAGAGTAGCCTTCTGGATTGTTTCAGACTCATTTCTAATAATGAAGGTGAAACTAGCCTACTCCCCGTCTCCATTACTAGCTAAAGGAGCCCCAAACCCCCGTGAGCATTTTCTTTAGACCTCACAGTGTACCAACAGAGGAAATCCTGGCTGCTTCTGAAAAATACTTGTTACTGCTGGCCCAAGGGAAGAAACTTTTTCTGTCATCAACATCTGAGTCGGCCTTCCAAGGGCCAAATTAAGATCTGGGTACAAAAGTACCTCCCGCACCTCCTCCCAAGGGTCTTACCTCCCCTGAGGTTGGTCTCTTACCTTACACCCCCTAGCATCAGCCCAATGCATGTTCTTGCATCGATGAACTGATCCTAATCCTTTTATCAGAGGCAAACATTAACAGCAACCGAGCCTGCAGCTAGCTCTTGCAGTGATGAAGATTTGAAGTCACAAAGATCCAAACACCTCGTTTACCATGCTAGAAAAAGATCCTTGTGACTTGTGTCGGTGAAAAAAAAAATATCTTCAGGCCCTCTCCTCACGGCTGCTAGCATGCACACTATCTTGTTCAATCCTCCAGAACTGGTAACTGCCCTCTCGTGGTAGGACGTGCATCCCGCTAAACAGGAAAGGAATGCAACAGCAATATGGACACCAACAATTTGCCAGCATCACAACGGGTGCCGTCTCTCAAAAGGCTTGCTGCCTGTTACTGGAGGGCCAGGGCTGTGTATTCAGACGTGCCGCTCGGAGGGTGATTGTGCAGCGCTACCGAGGGGAGGTTTTCCTGTGCACGCACTTTCCAAGCAGCAGCAGCACTGACTACCCAGCACCCTCCCCAGCAGCCCAACAAACGCAATCTGGCAGTTGTCTGTGCTCACGTAGGTCCTTTTCTCAACCCTCTTCATTTTCCCTTGATTAATACACAGTGCCTTACCTTGAAGCCCATTCACTGCACTAAAATAACTACTGGTTTTGCTTATATGATAACAGCAATCCAAGACAGCAGTAATCTATTACGCTGCAGTATCTCCTACTCTTGTCACTAGATCTTCCTTTTTATTTTGTCAAGGCAAGCTCAGCAGTAGTGTAAAACTTTACATGGCAGAGAAGTAGGAATGAGTGAACCCCCTCCAAAGAAGAAGTCAGAATTAGCAGCTGAATCACTCTGAGAGCAGCTGTGCAAATAAATATATTCACCAAGAGCCTCAAACTTGCCACGCTGCAGGGTACAAGGCCGGGTAATTTCTTCCCTCCTGCCAGGACAATCTCTGTAAACAAGCCTCTCGCAGAGTAGTAACACAGCAGAGGAGCCACAAAGATACCGTGTGACACTTTCTGCTGTTCAACAGGGGGAAGAAACGTGGAGCGTGAATGATCCAGTTCAAGACAAAATCATGTTTGGGCAGCACCCAGCACAGAATGGAAATGTCTCGGGCATGAGCAAAGTCAGGGCCGTGGACCCAGGGCAGCAAAAACACTGCCTGAGACAGTGGCTTTGGGGAAACTGAGCATCCTCCGAGTACAGTGCAGCTGCTGTGCCTGTCGGCAGGAGGAACGTGCTGCTGAGCAGCAGGGACTGTTCTGAGGAAGACCAACCCTTGCTTTCACAGCAGAAGCTTGGGGAAAAAAACCAATCCAGTAACCTTGTTGTGCCAAGCCCAAGTGCAGCACTTGTGCAAGTACTTACGGTTAACGGCGGTTACATGCAAAGCCGTGCTTCAGTTAAGAAGAAAAAAAGAATACGGCAACTCGGCCTGCTGGAGCACGGACGCCGATGAGCCCAGCAGGGGAAGAGGCTGGGAGGAGGGGGAAGGTACTTGGGAAAGAAAGAGAGGGCAGCACAGGGGATGTGAAGCGCAAGGGATTCCAGGGAAAGGCAGAAGTTCATTTCAGACACTCGCAGCAACCGGGAAAAAAAATGAACGCTGTACTTCAGTGTTCTGCTACCTGCCGTCGTTTATTGTAGGTTGCAGCTTATGACCCTGACAGAACAAGGCCGGTTACATCCTCAGCCTATTAGGTAAAGTACAAAGCGTCGCATTTGAAAAGTGGTGACACAGGGATTCAGGGGAGCCCTGAATTCAGCCTCAGTTCAAAACACCGTGCGTATTGCAGCCACCACACACTCAAAGCCCATCTGCTCCATTGATGTAACCTCTAGCTCCATTTAAACGCTGGCTTTAGGCAGTGCTAGAGAGAGACATGAATACTAAATTGATGATCCTGACAATCTAGAGCATTAAACATTTTATCTGGCTGGCTGGTCAGCACCATTGTCTGAATAACCCTGAAAGGGCTGACCGTGTGGCAGCACAGTGATTCACTCAGCCTTTACCCTAATCCACTGACTAAGATAAAATTTCTTCCTGTGAACAGACAAACAAGTAGGGGAGCGTCTGCTGTTTGTTGAATGTGTGATAATAAATGGAGATTAACTGGATAATAAAAACACTGCCTATTTACAGCCACGCATCAGTTCCTTGCCAGAGGACACCTATTTGTTCAGGGAAAAGGGATTAAACTAAAGTCTGGGAGAGAAAGGATTACACACACCCGCATTGAAATGTTTATCTGAAAACAGATTGGGCCTGAAAGGTATTTTCTTCCTCTTCATTCTCTCCAATGCAGGACATGCTATAGAAATGAATCTCAGGTCTCTTGCAATTAACTCATGTGTTTGGAACAATAAAAAAAGAGTAATTGCTGATGCTGATGAAGGCTGTCCTACACAGAGCACAGAAGTGGTATCCCAGCCAAGGCAGCTCTGAACGGAGCAGGCACCGAGCTGGCCCTGGCAGGAGGTGACTGGGCAGCAGGAACACGCTCCCGCTAACGGCGAATTCAAGCCCACCCTTGGAGGTCCCCATTTCTGTGGTAGCAAGGACACAGTCTGGATTTATCAGGAGGGGACAAGCGAAAGAACGGGAAGGGAACGAAGACGGCTTTGCCCCTCATATTGCTGAGGAGAAGTTGCTCCAGTGAGTGTGGAGCTGCTTGCTGCCGCGGGAGGGAGAGCTGGAGCCTTGAATGTCCCCGGCGGCGAGGGACGAGCCAAACCTCAGGCCCTCGGAGCCGGGTTGGTTCAAAGCAAGGCAGGAGAAAAAAAAAAAAAAAAAAAGGCCCCTCACTCCAAGCGCAATGACAGTGCACTGGCTCTCCCCCTCCAGGGCTGTAAAGGATGGCTGTGTCAAAACCACGGGGCAGCCTCGCTTTTGCCAAGAGTCCCGTCCCCCCCCCCCAGGGCACGCGCCCCGCGTACCCGCTCCGGAAAGGGCGCTTGCATACGTGCAGGACAAGAGCTGGGGTACGCTCCGCCAGACGCCCCAAATCCTCTTCGGGGCTTGCCGTCGTGGAAAAGACCTGCTTGTCATTTGGACTAGCTGAGTTGGAAGGTAAAGGCTCTCGGCCTCCAGGAATGACCGCCGTGCCCACGTGGGGTATGTGAGCACAAATGCAGAGCTCGATACTCGCCTTTGGCCTTCGGTGAGCCTCCCTTCAGCGCCAACAAGAGACTCCACCAGCAGGCTCTACAAAGACCACTCCCTGTCCTGTAGCTGAACACTTAAGTTATCTGTTCAAGGGCTTTAATGTCATCTCAGGGAAAAAATGCTGTTTGGGACGCTGCTGTTTCTGTCATTTCTTCCCTTTAGCTGAGCGTCTTCTCTGCTACACTAAAGTCCCATGTTCTTTGGGTTTTGCTCCCAGCCCTTTCTTCATCCTTCCTTCCCCTTAAACTGGCACACAGCAACGTATGCTGAGCTTCATATTGCTCACCAACATTAGGTTCTAGGGTCAACCCTCACTAAAGACAGAGATTGAAGTTCTTACTTTCTGGCACAGCTGGCTCCGGTCACATGTTGTACGGGTCGCTTTGCAACTATACAGTACTACGGTTTTGATTAACTTCTTCTTCAGAGAATACACACTTTCATCCATGAGCACATTAAAGGACGTCAGGTACGTGATACTTCTGTCCCAAATGCCTAACAGAAGGAAAAATGATCCAACGATCCAGTCTCATACGCCCCTAAGAGGAATGGTGGTGCAGCAGTTCAGACATGGGAACGTAAGGCATGTGTCCTGGGGTCTACTCCCACAGTCATCTCACCCACAACTGTATTACCAGGTTTTGTTTGTTTGTTTTTCAAGCCAAGATACATTCTTTCATATCAAGCTGCTAACAGTAGCCTGCAGGAACTCAGGAGTATCACCTACAACTATTAAAATGCTAGAAGATAAGTCCCAGTCCCAGTTAGGCATGCTATCAGGATATTGTTTGGAGTGTAGAAGAGGCTTCAAAAATCTCTAGTTCATTAATTGGCCCTGGCAGAACAGCTTCTACAGAACACAGTGAAGAGCATTAAG